TGTTAGATAGTGCAGAATATAAGTAGCAGAATATAAGTAGACAGGTTTGCAATTTATTACACCATTTCCACTCTGCTATTCCTCAAAAAGCAGTTTGAAGTTTTTGGTAGCTGTTGGGAACTGAGGGAACATCATAAGGCATTCAATGTTCACCTTTCAGTTGCCAAATAAGAGAATTGAGGGGGTAGGAACCCTCCATCTAATCAATATCTGTGAATTGTGAGTTCCAAAGATGCCACTTCCTTTCAAGAAAAGCAAAAATGTGGTTTCCCCTGCTTCCCATCCATGTTTTCAATTCACCTGGTATTTTTGCTTGGTCATTTTGAAAAGAAATGTAAGTGTTGCTGTTGCAAAGATGCCATTTGTTTTCACATTTAACTGTTGCAATTATTGTGCAGGTGGAATGATAACGCTTGGTTTAGACCCCCAAAGCCAATGACCCCCAAGATAGGACAGGCCCAAAGCAATTCTAAACTGCTGCAAAATACTTATGTAGAAAAAAAAATTATCTGGCAGATAATATTGTGGCAGAAGGAGATGCCTCAGTAGCAGACTGCAGTGATTTGAAAAAGCTGCTCTTAGATAAATTTCTAAAAAAGAAAAAGAATTCAAATTAAAATGATAAAGGTAAACACATGGGGAAAATAAAACCCTATGGATGGAGACAAAGACAATGAAAGACACACAATGATTATTTCAAGTTCTAGTTTTATTTCACTAAGGGAAATAAAATGGGAAAAAAGTATGACAAGTCTGAATAATAAAAAGACAACCATTGCTTGTAATTAAAACAAGGCAAAGCACATTTTATTTTTAACAGAAAACAAAAAGCAGTAACAGTATACATCTTATGGATTGTATATGCTCACCAAGCGACAATGGAAGACAGCATGGACAACAACATGGTTTCAACTGTTTTATTTAATTCCTAGGAAATGTTGTATTTTAATTGTAAAGTCATTCCACCTGAACTAGAACATACCCATCATGAGCATACCATTCTTCCTATCCCCATTTGCTTTTGAAAATACCCCACTGGTGTACAGTGCGAGTGGGGTCCCCTCCAGAGCTGTCTGCCTCCTCTAGGAGGAGCCATGAGATGCCAGAGCACCACAGCCAGAGTGTGGCTTGATTGGCTGGGTCAGACCATGTGGTTTGGAAGCCGACAGTGGCGGTGGGAGACACATAAACATGGAGGTTATCTTTCATGAGAGGGTGAGTGAGCCTTTTGCCTTCCCTTACAGAAGGTGGGGTATGAGATTAAAAAGAGACGAAGCAAGAGGAAAGAAAGGCGGCAGGCAGGTATTATTATTAATAATAATATATATTAATTTTGTATTGGTCAGATGTAAAGGTGGACCTACAGTATGAAGTTTAATCAGATCTATTTATTAAATTAAAGGTAAATTAAAAGTAATCTGTTCACTGACAAAGTTTCAACTTTAATGTGTTTCAAGTCAATATCCATATTAAACTCCAAATGTAAATTTTTCCACCTTATTTGACAACTTCTTAAAAATAATTCAATCTTTTACAGGCAACCAAATTTTGTTTTATTGGGCCAATTTCATTCCACATAGAAAGCTGACATTTCCACTCATTAAACTAAATGGATATGCCAATGGTAAATGTCCCAAAAGATTAATAAAATGCCTTCTTGTAATTTAAAGCCACACAGTGCATGATAACATTAATAGTATTAACTTACCTTGAACAAAATCCTAGTCTTTTAGATACACTAAAAATTGAAGGGATTTTTTTTCAACTACAAAGGTAAACCTTGTAGGGTAGGCAAGGTGGGTTGTATAACGTGTGTGAGTTCCAGCACCTTTTTTTTTTTTTTTACAAAAAAAGCACTGTATATGCATTATATATATATATATATTACCACACACAAAAATTGGGTGGGCTATCATAATTGGGTGGTTGTGGCTAGGAGGGCATTTGAACAACTTCAAGTTGTGCACCAGTAACGTCCTTTTCTCACTGGAGAAGCTCTCATTTCAGTCACTCATGCCCTGTTCATCTCCTTGCTGGACAACTGCATGGGACTACCCTTGAAGAGTATCCAAAAGTTTGCATTGGCACAGAATGCAACAGTGGGACTTTGGGGTGCCCTTAGGGAGGCTCATGTAACACTTCTGCTACAACATGAGCCACATTGGGTGCCAGTTTGCTTCCAGGTTAAATTCAAGGTATTGGTCATTACCTTTAAAGCCCTTCATGGTATAGGGCCACGATATTTGAGGAACTGCCTGTCCCAATTACATTGACCCATTCCAGCCAGTCAAGCAGGGTGGGCATCTATGTAATCCATCAGTCAAGGAATTTCAGCTGGCGGGGTTCAGGAAGAGGGCCTTCTCAGCTTCTGCCCCTGCCTTTTGGAACATCTTACCCCCAGACGTGAGGAGAAGCCTCACTCTTCTGGTTTTCCATGATGGCATAGAGCCCTGGTGGTACAATGGTTAGAATGCAGTATTGCAGGCTAACTCTGCTCACAGCCTGGAGTTTGATCCTGAGAGCTCAAGGTTGACTCAGCCTTCCATTTTTCCTAGGTCAGTAAAATAAGGACCCAGATTGTTGGGGGCAATAGGCTGACTCTAAACACTTAAAGAGGGCTATAAAGCACTGTGAAGCAGTATATAAGTCTAAGTGCTATTACTATTGCTATTTCCAGTTGAATGTTAAGACCTGGCTTTGCTAGTTAGCATGGCGGGGGACGTCTAAGAATATGATGCAACCTTGGGGATGGCTGCTGGCTTGAAGAAACTTTTCCTGCCTTGTTAATCTTTTAGCCTTTTCAATTTTTAACTTTGGTTTATATTTTTACTTGTAAGTTTTAAATTGCTCTTAATCCTGTTTTTAATCTATGCTTTTTATTCATGTGTTTATATGGCTTCATTATGAGGTTGTAAAATTCGCACTTAAGTGAAATGGGTGATGCAGAAATGGAATGAATGAATGAACGAATGAATGAACAAACAAATAAACCCAGCTGTAACCTAGCATAAAGAATCTGCCAAAAAGACCAGGCTGCTAAGAAGCTTTTGCAAACTGGATTGCTCCTTCCTTGATACTTCTACTTCGGGAGCAATGTATATTTATGCATCCGTCTCTAAAATTTGGTTTCTTCATTATTCTTAGCTGGGGAAGCTGACTCCCACCTTGCGCCCGAGACTTCCAGCCTAAGGCTTGTGAACAATGCAGACATCTCTGTTGGGGTGGCTGGCAATTCCTATGGTTATAGTATGCTAGAGGCCATAATCTATTATTAGTCTTCTTTAAGATATACTCAAACATAGGATATATACCATACATTTTCTAAATACCTAATGTATTACTAAAGAATCTCTGAAAAGATTCTAAGGAGCCCTGAAGTTACCCCCCAAAGACTTCCAAAACATTATTTTGGTGTGTTATATAGTTACAGTGTTGACCTTTCTAAACAGATAGAACATTTTAATTAATCTCCATAGTTGCATTTTCAAAGTTGAGAATCTCATGAAGCTCTGCCTAAATTATAGCAGTGCTGCTGGGCTACATTTAGATTTCTTTGATCTAACAGAAATTATCACTCCGAGGATTGTTTTAAGATCACATCCTTGGTATGTTCTCATGGCCTTTTTGACGATGGTATTCTAGTTCTGACAATATCACAGAGATTCCCAAGCCATTCCTTGTATTTTGTAACCGATGATGAAAAGCAGTCACACAAAAAAGGTCAAAACTGAAAGTCAACCTAAGCCCAGCTAGATCAAATGATAGAAATAGTATCTGCATGACTGAACTAACTTCCTGAAAATAAATGAAACGTACTGAGAAGTTGTATGAGCCTCAGTTCCACTTAGTTGTTCATAAACCACTGAAATATTTCAAGCACATACTGACTATGATTAATAGCTGTAGATTATTTAAACAAAAGGTCAGCCCTCCAATTCATCTTCACCTTTCTGCTGGACAAGCATTTATGTTTTGCTGAGGTTGCTCATAGTGAATGCAAGGGGAAAAAATACATTTCTTCTGGCATTTCCAATCACTTCAAGGGCTTTTAACCTCTGCCTGCTTTGAGACACATGGCAGTCAAACCTCCATGACAGGCATATACAGATAATTCTTGTTTTATGACATTTGGGATCATAATTTCTGCTGCTAAGCAGGAAAACTAATTACATGGAACACCAATGTAAATATAATACTTTCAGAAATTACAAAAAAACCCTGCTGTCTAAAAAAACCCAACAGATACTGTATTGTCCTGCATGTACATTAGAAAGCTTCTTCTTATACTCCATTATTGCATTCTTTGAGACGAAGTAAAATAACTCTTCTGCACTGAACAACCAATAGTATTTAACCGTGGAATTTGGTGACAGGTGTTAATCTTATCCATTAGAGAGCATATCCTTTAATCTATCTATATATTTATATTATTAAAACTCTCCTGTTTGTCTGACCGTAACCTTTAATTGCACAAAACAGAGCATCATAAGGTAATAATTTTTGAATCAATGGACATCTAATGGGCTAACTTAAAGAATGTATCCAAAATTCAGGACCCGTAACTCCCTTGGGATTGAAATTTTTCAGAGTTGTGACTAACTCAGTATCGCAGACATGTCAAACACAAGGCCCGCGAAGTGGTTTCATGTGGCCCGCGAAGCGATCCTGGAAACAGTGAGGGAATGGCCCCCGCTGCCTTGGCCCTGGCCCAGGCCGGCCGGGGGCCAATCTACAATTTTTGGTGGCCATCTATGCTGAAATGCATTCAGTCTTAGCTCTACAAGGCCGTCTAGAAACAGCAAGGAACCAGCCCCTGCCGTGTCGGCCCCACTCTCTGGGTGCATGTTGGGGAGGTATCATCCTTTGTGAGGAATAAAGAAGTGGACCATCCTTGGCGCTTGCCCCAGTCCCATCCCCTTCGCCAGAGACCCTCAGATCTGTCCCACTCCTGCCCAGGCCCCCACAGGCACCCTTGACACGAATGATTTAGAGCTGGTCATGCCCACCCAGTAGGCCACACCCACTCCATGCACGCCCACCCTGGCCACATCCACCTGGCCCCCCGAGGGCAACCGCAATGCTGATGTGGCCTCAATGAAATTGAGTTTGACACCCTTGCTGTACCGTCATACTGCTGCATTGCTGCAGCCAGCTATACCCATGTGATCGTAATTTTCAGCACTCCTTGCCAGCTTCTCACAAGGAAGGGAATGTGAAGTTGGCAGAAAATCAAAAGACATTCTCTGTCCTGCTGATTCTTTACCCGCCTAGGGTCATTCTGTTTCTCTGTTAGGGTAACGAAATATCTCTGAAATATTGACTCAACAGGTTATGAGTTGTCTACTATAAAATACATTTGTCCAGTGGAATTGTAAAAATCCACTAAAGGCTTTCCTTTAAATGGTAACCATGCAAGCAATTAAGCATCTGAGCACCTAGGATCTTTAAATTGTTTAGGAAATCTGAAATATCTGTCCCAAAGAAAGATGCTATCCTATTACTGCATATTAACGTGGATCGTTCTAATTAAACCTAAAAAAGAATCTGTACATTATCTGCAAACATTTTCTAAAGTGAAAGTAAAACACAACCCATCGTTGGTCAATATAAAACCATTCTGAATAGGAAAAGACGATTAAATGATATTAAGCGGTTATACCATAAAGTAAATCTGGATTATGCACCATCATTTAAATGTGTCCACTAATCTCCTTCCTCAGGGCCTGCTCCTTATCAAATTCCTGAGTTGTTCTCTAGGGCAATGACCAGATAAGAAGATTCTGATCTGGCTGATATATTGCAATAGGATTCTTCAGCCTTTTTTTCTTTTGTTATTGACAGGCATAGAGAGGCCAGGAAGCTGGTTGCCATGGCATCCAGTCTTTGTAGTGTTTGTAGAAGTGGGAGGGAAGTTTATAGAAAACATGGCGTAAAGCGAGCTGATCTGATATGAAAAGCATCACTGCCACACTCGTAAGGGGACTTTTTTTTGCCACCTGTGTTCTAGGATTCTGTCATCAGCAAGGGCTGATGAAGGGACACTGTTCTGGATACCATGGCAACAGCCAACTGTAGATGGAAGGAAGGCAAGGAGAGAGATTGCTAATGATGAAGCCCCAGTGGCACCTGCAGGCCAGGAGGAGGTAATGCAGCCCTACATACAGCCAGCATCCTCCTCCTGGCTCTGTGGCTTTTCTCCTGCCATGGGCTCTCCAGCCCTATCGGGACCCTATTTAGCAGGCGGGGCCTCCTGCTTGAGCTGGCTTCTGCGATCCAGCTTGCTCATAACCTGGGTGATGTCCACGTTGGTGGCTGCTTCTGTAGCTTTGGCTTCTTCCTCCAGCTGCCTCATGAGGATGGGGCTGGGACTGGAGCGCAGGTGCTTGCGGGCAAACGGATTGTAAGAGCTGAACAGGAAACAAATCAAAGCCAGAGGGTCACTATAATCATTATGATCATTATTAATTAACATATTTCTACCGCCTTTCAATAAAGGGATGGAAAACTGCAAAAGCGCCTTTCAGGTATAAAACCAATCTACTACAGATTTTAGTTCACAAAGGCTCATGTCTCTTAATACATTTGTTAGTCAGAAAGAGAACTACCGTATCAGGATTCCTATCATAGAGTCCTCTCTTTTCTCACAATGTCTACAATTAGATTTAAGTTAATGGTGAATTATTTGTCCAACTGAATTCAGCATATGCCTCACTGTCTCGAGGCAACCCAGTCTAAAATTAAAACAAGGTGGAAAGAGCAATTAAACTCAGAAAGCCTTTTTCATGAAAACCTATCCAGAATATCCAGCATTTGTGTGGGTTTGCATAAACAAATGCACAAACATTCTGGCCCTCATCCAAAAATGTTGGAATTGCATCAGAATGGGAACTTCATCACTTTTCCATCTATCTAAATTTTACACTATTATAGAAAATTAAGAAATGCTCTAAAATAGAAGGGAGAAAGAAAACCAGCAAAACCCTTTCGGGTTAACAAAAAATGTATTTAACACTGATGCAGATCTATAGTTGGTCCCTTTTATTGCTCATTGTAAATATTTACTGCAATAAACAATCCTGCCATAAGGATTATAGATAAGTATTTCAGAAAGATGCTGACCAAATAGTATTCTACAAGCTCAGTATTCTGCAAAACTATGAATAAGTATCTTTTTTGAACAGGTAGTCCTTGACTTACAACTTTCATTTAGTGACCATTCAAAGTTACAACAGCACTGAAAAAAGTGACTTATGGCTGTTTTTCTTTGCAGGCTAATTCTGCCAACTGCCAGGAGCTTGATCCTGACCGGCTCAAGGTTGACTCAGCCTTCCATCCTTCTGACATCGGTAAAATGAGGACTCAGATTGTTGGTGGCTATATGCTGACTCTTTAAACTGCTCAGAGAGGGCTATAAAGCCCTGTGAGGTGGTATATAAGTCTAAATGCTATTGCTATTTTCATACTTACAACTTTTGCAGCATCCCCATGGTCACAAGATCAAAATTTGGATGCTTGGCAACTGGCATGTATTTATGATGGTTGCAGTATCCCGGGGTGATGTGATCACCTTTTGTGACCTTATGACAAACAAAGCCAATGGGGAAGCCAGATTCACTCAACAAAAGCGCTACTTACTTAACAACTGCAGTGATTCATTTCACAAGTATGACAAGAAAGGTTGTAAAGTGGGGCAAAAATCACTTAACAACTGCCTTGCTTAGCAATGGAAATTTTGGGCTCCATTGTGATTGTAGGTCAAGGACTATTTGTACTATTTTAGTATGTAACACACTTGGCAAAATATGTTCAGCAAATGTATTAATAAAATCATGATCAATATAGTTGGATCTAACTAGAACGGTCTTTCTAAGAATTAGAAAGTTAAAGTTAAGTTCACTTAATTCTAGACTGATCTTTAATGAGATCTTTCTCATCCTATTATATGTTGAGGAATATTGGGAAAATTATCGTGATTGTCAGAAAGCAGCTGTCATGATTTTTCACTGCTTGCATATTGGGACTGTGCAAAGTCTTTGAAAAGAATACATTCAAAATACATGCAAAACACCCCTTTTTGAACAGGCATGTCTTTTCCAGGCTTGCATGGCTCCTTCAGAAGCCAATTCTGTCTCTCCTACCACGTGAAGCGGCCAGGCATGTCTATACTGTCTTATGCAAATGATGCAAGTTAAATATATACATGCTATGTTTCATTGAGATGAAATCACTTCCAAAGGCTATTAGGGAAGCATCTAACTTCTAATTCTATGACATCTTAGAAATGTAAAAAGGATATGTGATTTTCTCTCTTTTAGGTAATTTTCATCTTTTTTCCCCTCTTATGAAATAGTTAGGTAAGTACTAAACATTAATATTTAAAAATATTTACTTATTATTAACTTTATTTGCTGCCAACCTCACGATTCATGGCGACTCTGAGTGGCATGATGTCTGTGATTATCAAACTGGAAGTCAGACATTTTTTCCTCAGGGAAAGAGCACCTTAAATTGTGCAAATGTATAAATAATAATCATTTTCCTTTAGTTCCTAATTTAAACCAACAATGAAGAAATGTAATTAAACCTCAGATGACTTGCCTTTTTTTAACTGCTTCTTGTGGTACAATTGCCTTGGACAACATTTCTTTGTATACCGGAGACTTTAAATAGCGACCATAAGAATCCTACTAGGGAAAAGAAAGGGAAACTGGTAGTTGTAGATTGCAAGCATCCTAATTAAAATCATTTCTCTATACAGCTGTTTAGGAGCCAAAGAGGCTGAGAATGGAGGCATCAAGAGAATATTCTCACCAAGAAGCACAGGAAAACATCTCTTCTCAATGTTAAATATGCATCCTGAAAAACCACTGGTTAAATTAAAGCTCATATGGTTAGAATTCACACACACACAAATGAACAAAAAAAAAAAAGAGGCAAGGAAGATGTTTTCTCAGATGCTGAAATATACACCAGGGGTTGGGAAAGACATTGTCTATTGTTGTTGGTGTTATTTTCTATTGAGCATTGAACCCAGAGCCGCTATTGCAAAATGGGTGGACATGTAAATTGAGTAAAATAAAATGAGTAAATAACAGAACAATTGTGGCAAAAGAAAGGTAGTACCAATTATAATAGGTGCCTTGGGCGCAGTCACGAAACAACTAGAGCACCACTTGAACACCATCGGCATCAACAAAATCACCATTTCCAACAGGCTACCTATGTACATGTACCCTACAAGCAGGTTATGTAATAATAATTGGATGAGTCATACTAATATATCAGACTTTTCCTTTGAACAACTGGAATGCTGAGCAAATCATTTTTGTTTCTTATGCTGCTAAAACATGTAGTCATAAGATGGAAGAAAGGAATGATAATGGTATACTAAAACTTTTGGGTAACAACTTATTATGGTTGGTCACAGTCAGCCATATGTTTGGATTTGGCATTTTTATCCACCTATTGAGTCCTTCCCAAGGATTTGGGATAGCAGACATTGTTGTTTGATGATGTGAAAGGTATAGCAGAATGTAAGCTGTTCCAAGTAAAGCTGCCTTTTGCAATTGACGGATGGTGATTTTGTCAATGTCCACAGAGGGGAAGCTGGTGTGAAGGACCACAGAGAGGTGGCAGTTTCACAGATAGGAAGGAGCACATTCCAGAAAGGGGGTGGGGAGGGACAAGTGGCAGCACATCGAGAGGTGTAGGTAGGAAACAGAGAAAGGAATCTGGATAGATTCCCTAGAATCTCCCAAGGTATATCTGCCGGGCTGACACTAGCAAGGATTTAGTCTGGCAAGATTCAGTCTGAAATATACAAGCAAAAAAAAAACAAAACAAACCAACAACAACAACAATCCTGAACTCGGGCTGAATTATTCCATGCTGTTCCTGGGCTTAACCTGACATGAGCTAAAGTCTGTTCTATCCCATTCAGACACTGAGTTAAGGCATTGACAGCTTCACCTGTGCCATTTGGGGTTGACAAAGAGAGATGAGTATCAGCAGCATATTGATAATACCATACCTCCAACTGGTGGATGACCTTATCTATGGTGTCATGTACAAGGTGAAGAGAGGAGAGAGCATCAAGTCCTGAGGCACACCACACAAGAGGCTGCAGATGTAATCTCTCCTCATTGTCTCCAACTGGAACTGACTACTGTACTAAGGAAGGAGATGAACCACTGGAACCCACTGCCTCCTACTCCTAACCCCCACAACTGGTTCAGAAGGATTCTGTGGTCAATAATATTGAAAGCTGCTAAGGGATCAAGGGGTACTTGATGTACCACGCCCATCCTGGTTCTGCTGAAAGGTCAACAGCAAATGCGACCAGCACTGTCTCTGTAATATACCCTGGCCTGAAGCCACACTTAAATGCTTCCAGAAATCCGTTTGCTCTAAGATCCTCTGAAGCTGTCATCAGGCACCTTTTCCACAATATTTCCCAGAAAGGGGCGATTGGAAACTGGCCAATAATTCTCTAACAGGGAAGGGTCCAGAGCTGACATCTTGAGGAGGGGGCTTAGCATTGCCTCTTCAAGGCCGATGGGACCACCACCACCACCACCACCTGTCAAAGAGGCTGAAATCACCACATGAACCCACACTGTGTTCATCTGTCCTAACAAGGAAGAAGCTGGATTAATAGATATAAGGACTTTGTCCACTTCAATGCCCAGGATATCTCCTAAAAAACTGAATTTTCCTCTTGAAAAACTTATCTTTGTATGGAAGTCATTCACTTTATATAATGAAAATTATGTGGAATCAACCCCAAATTACACAGGATCTCACACAGAGATGTTCCAATGTGTTTTCTTTGGAGCAACAAGGAAGAGATATTTGTCTATATCTAGGTGTGTGTATACAGCAGGGATCCCTACCCCCAGTCCGTGGACCAGCACTGGGCTGTGACATGCCAGAAACTGGGCATCGCAAACAAGCGAAGCCCCATCAGTGGGATGCAGGCAGCATACAAAACCATGCCCCCTCCGGTCCGTAGAAAAACCTCTCTCCACAGACCCAGTCTCTGGTGCCCAAAAGGTTGGGGGCTGCTGGTATACAGTATATGTGTTAATATCTTTTTTGTTTCCTTCAAAAATATCTAGGTAGCTGGAATGGAAATTCAAATGACCAACCTTTTTCATGAGCATGTAAATATGAGTCTGTGCAGCATCTAAGACATAACGTTGAGGGTTTTTGAGGCCTCTGACTGTAACGCCCATAGTGGTGCTATCGATATTAATCCACCGTCTTGCTCCTGGAGCCAAGAAGGTTCTAGAATTGAAAATTATAAGGAGGAAAAATAGTTAATAAAATCAGGGAGATGGGATTTTTTTTCCCTATAAATAAAATGCTTTTTTTCTTTTTTGAATATGAACTGATATTGTATCAGTTTCATGTATCTCAAATATGTTAATAACCAATAATATACAGAATTAATATCACAGAAGATAACAACTATCACTGGAACCTTAACATATTTTCACCATCTCCAGCTGACATTTTTGTTAGGCTGTAGACTTCTTTGATGAAAAAAATATCAAATTTTACGGCTAGCTGACCAAAAATAATGTGGGATAACAATCAAATAAATAAACAAGACAGAAGTTTAGGAAATAGTAGAATTCTGAATAATAGCCTGATACTATTAGATTCTATTGTTGGACACAGTTCTTTATTTTCATTATAGTATGATATGATTATATTCTTAGAATGTATTCTCACTGTCATTCCTTTCACTACTTAACCACAAAATACTGAAATGGAACTAAACAGAACAAGGAAAGTTACTAGAAAGATTTCAAACTAGAATATGCTCACTTGTAAATTTCTTCTGCTTTTTCTTTCACTTTGGATTGATCTCCATACTTCAAATCTTCACAAGCTTCCCAAAATCCCAGATTCTCCCCTGAATTAAACAGGAACAAAAAACAGCATTTTATTTATTAAATTTATACACCCCCTATCTCAGAGGTCCCCAACCTTTTGGGCACTAGGGACCGGTTCCGTGCGTGGTTTTGTGTGCTGCCTGCATCTCAAGGATGGGGCTTTGCTTGTTTGTGCGGCCTGATTGCTAGCATGCTACAGCCCGGTACTGGTCCATGGACCGGGGGTTGGAGACCCCTGCCCTATCTCATTATTGGCAGCAACTCTGGGCAACATTTTATGATATCAACTCTTGTAAGACAATATTAAAAACAGAATAATGTAAGTCTAGAGTGACCATACTAAGACCATAAGCAGACTTCTAGAACATTAGCAGAAATAATTTTCCTGACCCCACTCTCCAAATCAAAAAAATTTCCCATTACCCAAATGCTATAAACATGATAATTATTTTCCCTGGTATATGGCCATCAGATTACACCCTATTTCAGTGATGGCAAACCTTTTAGAGACCGAGTGCCCAAACTGCAACCCAAAACCCATTTATGCATTGTCGGGTGCCGGGTGGGTGTGGCCCATTGGCTGGGTGTGGCCAATTGGGTAGGTGTGGCCCATGGGGTGGGCATGGCTGCGGTGGTAACGGCAGACTGGGTTGGATTAAAAAGTTCAATCAATCAATTCCAACTTTGCAAGATCTTTTTTTTCCCGCGAAACATTGAAATTGACTGATTGATTGAACCCTTTTTTTTTTTGCACACGGCGGCAGAGGCCTAAAGCAAAAAGGTTTTATAAAACCCAGCTGAAGGCTTAGGATTGGGGCGATGGTGCGCGTGCCCACAGAGAGGGCTTTGAGTGCCGCCTTTGGCACCCGTGCCATAGGTTCACCACCACTGCCCTATTCTATTCATGAATGTCCCAAACCAGGGGGATTTGTAAAGGACAAAAAAAAAAATTAATGTTTTTGAGCCCTTTTACTAAACCACAAAGATTCTGTTGTGCCTTGAGTATAAAATGTCCTCCCCTCTCACAGACAAGGTCTATAATAAGTCACAGCTTTATTCTTGTTATGAATAGCTGCAATGTAATCTCATATCACCTTACAAATAATTAAGGGATTAAATCACTTTCTGTACATAAAATTCCTCTCTGTTTGCTGTGGGTGACATCAGTGACTTCAGATTGTATACAACACCTTGACATGGGGAAAAGCAGGCTTATCTTTATACCTACCACTAAATTCCTTCTTCAGGAACAGCTGGAAACTCTGACGTCCTTTGGGGTCCTTCATCAGCTCACTAAAGTTTAAGGCCCATTTCTCCACTCGTGCCTTGGTGGGGATTTCTACCCTGCCCAAAGAGAGAAAGTCTCCTTTAAATTAAGATTGATTTCATGGACCTGCCCATATGTTCATTTATAAACACAAAACTGTTTGTCCCTGAAATCAATTCTTTTGAGATTTTCTATTTTGTTTTGTGTTTTGACAGAACTGAGAACTCTGCCTACTTTTGACTTATTTTTCCTCTGACTTCTAATGTATTATGATCAGGACAAGTCAGGATATTACAAGTAAGTCAAAGTATCCCTCAGGTCAAGCTTGACTCATAATTAACTACAGGGACACGGAAATATTATTTTCTTACCAGAAATGTTGTTTTCTTAGCAAAAAAACAAAAAATGTTTATCATTTTCTGACAACACTTTTCCAGCTTCCCAGTCTAATCTATATTCTGTGATAGTAGCCAAGCAGTATCTAGACCAGTGGTTCTCAACCTGTGGGTCGGGACCCCATTTGGGTCGAACGACCATTTCACGGGGGTCGCCAAACAACACAGTCCGCCATTTTTTCCCCCTTTTCCTTAGCTGTACTACTCCCTTTTATTCTATTGGCTTTTGAAAGCCAATAGAATAGACTCTCTTGAATAGAGTCTAATTCTATTGGCTTTCAAAAGCCAAATAGGAATTGTCCAGGCTGTCTCTGCCCTGCTGAGCCCGCCAAAAGTCCCATTCTGCAAATGGTGCTGCACCAGTTGAGTAATCCTCGACTTACGACTGGTTGAGTAGTCCTCGACTTATGACCGGTTGGGGGTCGTGGCATTAAAAAGGTTGAGAACCACTGATCTAGACCCATCCTTGCTTAACTTTTTCAAGCTAGCCAAAGTTGGCTAGGTATTGCTATCTAAAATAGCCAGTGATTATGCATTGTAATATTTATTAGGATCATTATAGAAATGTATTTCCCTTTAATTCAGGCAATTTCTTCACTTTGTTTGTTATTTTTGATTTTTCTACTATAGATACATTTTGGAAAATGCACACTGCAGACAGATGGAGTAAATTTTGTGATGGCATCTGCAATGTGTATTGATAAGATCTTCCCACAGATAAGCATTAAAATCACCCATTCTAAATTATAATGCAAATTTAGAGTTTACATTTGTCAGAATGTTTATTCAACTAAGAAAGGTCTCCTCTCCTTTCCAAACGCACAGCCACAATTGACAAAATAGAAAAATGAAAGAAAGATTTCACCAGGTTTCAAAAAGTGGTAACTGACTACTTCTATAGCACCCACTATTCTATTTTGCCAATTTTTTTCTTACCTTCTGCTTGCTAAAGCAGGCAGAAAAATAGGAAACCATAATATGAAAGAAAGAAGCACAACAGCGCCTTCTTGCTTTGCCTTAACACTAGAGCAGGAATGTCTCTAGATAAAATAATGTAACTTCTCCTGCCTCCACCTTAGTAAGCAAGAAGAGGTAAAAGGTAAAGGTTTCCCTGTCCAGTTGTGTCCAACTCTAGGGCATGGTGCTCATCTCTCTTTCTTGAGCGAGGGAGCCAGCGTTGTCCGAAAACAATTTCCATGGTCATGTGGCTATAGGCCAAAGGCACACACAGAAATTTATAAACTGAAAGTTGCTCTGATACTAAAATTGGACTGGAGGACGTCCAGAGTTCCTTCCAACTTTATTATTCTGTTCTGTTATTCTTTCTATGATTGCATGTATCCATCCCATCAAGCCCAAAGAAAGTCTGGAATGTTATAGGATCTCCTGCCATGAGCTGGGGGTTGAACTAGAAGACCTCCAAGATCTCTTCCAACCCTATTATTCTATGTTCTAAATCTAAAAGAAAAAAAGGAAAAGCAAGTAAGAGTCGATGTAAGTTAGGAGCTGAAATAAATGCAATACGTACAGTTTTGCATTGAGTTCCCAAAAATCTACATCATCAGAAACCCAAGGGTTGCTGGGCAGGCATCCTGAGATTATAGGGTCATTGGAGCAGAACTGTTCACAGTACTTCACTATTCTGAAAATATTAGAGACAAAAAACAGGGAAACATCTACATGCAGTTATTAGTCCAGAATAAACAGATGAAATTAACATTATTCACATTTCCAATGACATCCCAGCCAGGAGAACATTTCACTGCTGATATGATGCAATCAGTAACACTTGCAGTTTCCTGGCTAGCGTCTTATTGATGTTCCAGTGATATCATTCTTGTATTGTTGGGGGTTAAGAGATATGGGGGGGTCTTTGAGAAACTGGCTTCCAAAGGCTAATTATACTACACTTGAGTCTCTGCAGGTAACAGCACTTGGCCAACTTTATCTGGACTCAGAAGTTAGACATGTTTGGGCCTGATTGCTATTTGGATGGGAGACATTTCAAAATACTACATGGCACATTCTTAGACTGTCCCACTGCGGAAGGATACAATGGAGAAGATGTTTGAATGCATGCCCAAACATCAAAACATCAGCCATAGAAAGTTTGCATGATATAAAGAAAGAAACTATCTTAATTTTATCCCAGATACGGCACTTCTCTATGTGGAAGATTTTTGTTTTGGCATGGGAAGTAATTCAAACATGGGATCCCTCACTTGCTGTTTGAAGACTAAGAACTGATTACATCAAATAATTTTCCTAAACCAGCTCATTGAGGATTGAACTGTTGACATTGGGTTTCTATTGGCAGATGCTTGGACTGGCAAATATTCACGTCCACCTTACATTTTTAAGACAGTCAAAAACCTGGCTAGAATTCTGACGTTGATATGCTGTAGTTCAGGAATCCAACTGGGATTTTCTATAAATCCTCCAAAGTACCTCCCAGCAATACTTGCTTATAGAAGCAACAAACACTAGCTTTGGTTTTTCTGAAACTCTATGGTAATTTCCTGCTTATAGATGTTTCAGGTGAAAATGATTATATCCACAGTAGTGCATATAAACTGCTTATGCACATAACTCCTGGGGCTGCAAGGTTACATCATAAAGAAGAAATAACAATTAGTTTAGGAAGTAATATGCAATAAATTCAGAATAGCTCCTCTAATTATGTCCCTCTCAGCTTACCACAATTCAGAAACAGGATGAAATATGCTGAAGTTGCAGAAAAAAAATAAACAGTACGAGTATTTTCAAGTATTGCTCCTAGCACAATTAATCAGGAAAATAAATTTACAGATTTTTAAAAAATGCCCAACATTTGATATGCTAAAAGAATAATAGTTGTGGCTTTAAACAAATGTATGACTCAGAATCTTAGATCATAGCAGAAATGAGAAATTGATCACTAAAGAGAATTCATATACAGATATAACAAGCAAACACAACCCTTTTGAACAGAGCAACATGCAAACTTCGTTCTTTTAAAACAGAAAATTCACAGGCACACTTGGAAAGTATCCTAATTGCTCTAAAATGGATTATTATCGTACAATACTATTCAATAACTATTTCTTTCAACAGGTAGGTGGATTGGAAATAATGCTAGTTATGAGTCAGACAAACAAGCAAATAATGGAAACCTCAGTAGTGTGCATGGTTTATTTTTCAGTGATAAGTTTAGTTAAGATTCCTCCCTCTCAGAAAAAAGGATTTTGTATGTCTATTAAGCGACGCTGCCCTGGAAAAACTTGAAAACTCCAACCCCATCTCAATCTTTTTAAGTAGCTTTCTGATGTACTCCCCACAAACTGGCAATTGGAAGTATGGAACTGAAATTCCTGTTCAGAAGACTAATAAGACTGTCCTGCTTATTAAAAATCCCAAGGAGCATCTCACAAGGTTACAACTATACATGTATGGATGCTGGGAAACGTGGGAAGGAAACCTGTGAAGAGAAGGAGGGATGTATACTTTTGTGTCAGAGATGCACCACTTAGGAGCTTGTTTGGATCAAGACGTCCAAAACATGACTTGCGCCCTCATCCTCTCACAATTACATTGCTGCCATACATTTTAGATGGGGTTACCCTCAGTACTGATTCAGACACTGTAGCTGGTCCTGAATATTAACAAAGGAGAGAGTCCCAAAGATGGTTTTTCAAAAGGCAACTGGACTTTCTTGTTTTTCCTTGAAGACATTTCGCTTCTCACCCAAGAAGCATCCTTAGTTCCGACTGAATGCTGGGGAATGGAAGGATTTATATTCCTTGCAGTTATCTGGCTGTTAGCACCATGAAGGTGGATCATTAGCTCTCTGAGAGTCATGGAGAGAGGTTTAGCAATTGACAGCTATGTTGAAGTTGCTACATTAGTTAACTATAAACCTCCAGATCCAATTCAGTCCCAATTTTAAAGTCTCACCTGTGCGCTTCTTTCTGAGAGTGCCTACTTCAAGTCCCCAACTGAGTGAGGTCAAAAGGATGGGGCCCAAAGACGTGCTTTCTTGGTTGAAGCCCCCATGCTATAGATCACCTTGCCTCCTTAAGTAAGGACAGCCCACCTATCCTCAGGTTAAGTTTCCCAAAACAACAAAACCCTTCATATTGTGGTAGGCTCTGGGAAAAACAATAGACCTGGATGCATTTATTTTTATGTATTGGTTTCTAATATTGATTTTAGTGTACAATCCATCCTAAATCATGAGAAGTTGATTAAAAGCTGTATAAAAAGGATGAGATGGATGGATGATGAGACAGGGTATGTGTGCATGTGAGGTACGAATATAAAGTGTGTTTGTAACTAAGGGACATAGAGAGGGGGAGAGAAGGAGAAAAAGACTATCTGAAAATGAAAGATGGAAACTTATGCAGTTCTCACTTAGTTATGTCCACTAATACTAGTGTGGCTTTCTTAAACAGTCACATTTCATTATTGAATACATACATCTGTTCCCTTGGGGATTCTTAAAAAAAAAACAACCTCCTCTGGATGAAGCTTAAGTATCATATCAAACCTTTTCTAGCTTTAAAAAGACAATCTCTGGCTCAATCTCTTGATGAAAAGTATTAGTTAAAAGACATACAAGATGTCAGAGCTTACCCTCCCAGAGAGACAGATGACTTTGTTGCAGTCTTCATGAGGGCCAGTTGGAGATACATGATCTGTAAAGACAGATATATTGTATATGTTAGCAGAACAGCAGATAATTGACTTCCAAGCTTTGTTCACTAAGAAATGAATTCTTGCAAGAGTGGGTCACACAATGTTATTGTTCCATTAAGATTGTGTGACCCACTTTTGCAAGAAATGGATACCCAGCAGGCAGATTCCTGAATTGTAGTTTAAGTCTTGATGAGGTTTATTGTCTAGGAAAGAAGAGAGATAAACTAAAGAGACATTTTATTACAAGCTCGTTTCCATCACCTGCCATCCCTGGCCCATATTATTCCTACAAAGACTACCACTTAAAAGACAGAGAAACAAGAATGGCCATAAAATCAATGGGAGGATTAGAGAAGTGTATAGTCTACTTGGAGGCACAACAAAAAGATTAACTTAAGCCTCGCATGTGGAGGGACCAATTCAAAAGACACTTTGGTTTTGAAATGATTGCAATGACAAATAATAGCACACTGATGTGAGTGAGAAGGAAGGATGGGGCTTAGGTAAACGTTCAGCCCTCAGCCATTTTGGTATATTATATAGATCAAGTGACTTTGTGTAAATGATATAGCATAAATGCACTCAATATAATCATTTGAAAATTGGGGGTCAAAAGAAAAAAAGTCAAAGGATTAGTTTTACTGTCAGGCAGAATACAGGCACTCCTCAACTTACAACCATCTGTTTAGTGATCATTTGAAATTACAATGGCACTGACAAATCATTTGAAATTACAATGGCACTGACTTATGAGCGTTTTTCACACTTACAACTTGCGGTCACATAATCAAAATCTGGATACTTGGTAAATGGGTAGTATTTATGACATTTGCAGTGTCGCAGTGGTCGTGCGATCCCCTTTTGTGACCTGATGGGGAAGCCACTTAACAACTATTACTAACTTACTTGTAGTGATTCATTTAACAACGGCAGCAAGAAAGGTTGTAAAATGGGGCAAAACTCACTTAATCACAGTCTGGCTTAGCAATGGGATTTTGGACTCAGCTGCTGTTGGAAGTCAAGGACTACCTCTAAAGTGATTAATAAGAATCAAATGCGGGCATCTGCGGAATGTGGGTGCAGATTATGAAACGAGCACCATCCTATCATGATGCAAATACTGTAGTGTATCTTACATACTTGTGCAGGCATTGCTGCACAAATAGTTAACAGCACGTTTTGTAATATAGTGTCACCATGTGTGTGTAGGGAGTTAAGGTGATGACCTTGGAGAAAGGAGGCAGAGGTGATATTTGCAAAAATATGCCTTAAGCCCAGGAAGCATAAGAATGAATTCTGTCAGGCTTTCAAGATTCTGTTAACACAGCTTATCTCAAAGAGGCAGAGTTCCAACCAGATTTGTGGAATCTCTTTCCTGATCTGGACTGTCTGGAAGAGCTGAACAGTTTGTCATCACTCTGATGTCATCATGGTTTGCTATGGATGCCCACGGAAGTTAGTAACCAATTAATAAATGATGGCCAGAGATGGAGTTGGAATATTCTACCTTAGGCCATATCATCTTTTAAACCAGGGCTTTTCAACCAGTGGTACGGGTACCACCTGTGGTACATTAGCAACTGGCAGATGGTACGCGACCATCCTAGAAAAATGGTAGCAAGGGAGGGGAATGAGCTGAACCGGTGGCAGCACCGCACAAGCCTGAGTGAGAGATGGCTGGAGCTGCAAGGCTATCAGGGCTCAGTGGAAGTGCCAGGATCAGTGACAGGCTCCAGCTGGAAACTTCTGTTGAGCCTTGAAGAAGCGCCGATCAGCTGGAATGTTGCAGCATCTCCAGGGTCTGGTGATTTACATTCAGATGCTTGGCAACTGATTCATATTTGTGACGGTCACAGTGTCCCAGGGTCGTGTGAAGTGACAAAAACCTGCTACAACCACCCAGCAGACAGGGGGAATAAAAACCAACCCCCCCACCCCCTCTGCCAATCCTCAACAGAAATGCTCACAACAATGAAAACCTTGGACAGGAGGAAGAGCGCCGCCGGGTGGGCAGGCAGGTGTCTTGCTTGGCTGTGGCTTGGGGGGCACTTTTTCAGTGCCATTGTAACTTCGAACAGTCACTAAGTGAACTGTTGTAAGTCGAGGACTACTTGTACCACTTTTTTCCTTTTTTTTTTTTTTTGGTCATCAAGTTTTTGACACCTTGCTAGGCGACTGGTGGTACTCAGATGTTGCCATATCCTAAAAGTGGTACAATGGGTGAAAAGGTTGAAAAGCCCTGTCTTAAGCCATTCTGAATGGATGCAAGGGAGGAAGCCCTAACTGGAAGAAGATCCCAGGACAGCAGTACAGATAGTCCTCGATTTATGACTGGTCATTTTGCAACTGTTTGGATTTCTGACAGATTTACCTGGGTGTCACTCAACAACCCAGATTCAAAATTCTGACCTTTACTCTCCTGTGGTCACGTGACCAAACTTCAGGCACTAGGCAACCGGACTGCATTTATAGCTGTTTGATGCAGTATCCCTTGGTCATGTGACTGCTTTTATGACAGCTTTGCTGAAAACCAACATTTACTTCCAGTTTTTCAGCAAACCAGAGCCCAGAATGAACCATTGGTTCATTTAACAACTGTTATTGTTATTTGCTTAACGATCACCTTAAAAGATTATAAAATTGACCCACTTTACATCCGTGATGAGTTATGGCTATGATGGACAGGCTCCATTACATTCATAATACGAGGAATACCTGTATTCAGTCTGTCTGAAAATGGAATTTGGAGGATATAGATTAAAACAAAAGCAAAAAGACTCCCAAGATTTTAACGTGCTCAAAAGGTGATTCTTGGCAATTTCTGGTTCGCTAAGTAAGATTTTTACATGTGCTATAAAATAAATATTCGTGCAGATTATAATTAACAATATACATTACAACAAATTACAATGAATTACCTCTGTCCTATATACATCAATTGTTTTTTTCTGTAAAACAAAGAAACAGTGCATTGAAAAGAGTATCACAGTCTGTTTGACAATTAAAACATTTAGATTAGGAACAATCCACTTCATCTAACAAAATGTGAAGAAATTCCATGGACTGACTGATTTTACTAAGTCTTATTTAGTAGCTAGTAATGCCTGTTTCTTCTCAGCTTGTATGTGTGTATGTATGTGTGTGTGTGTACATCCCCAAAAGTAAGACCTACCCCAAAAATAACCCCTAGTTTCGGGATGAGGCACTCACCTAAAAATCAAGCTAGGGCGGGGGGGGGGTGGAACTGCCCCATGTATTCCGCACCCGCTTACTTTGCAGCCAGGCCTCTCCTTGCTGGCCCACTTCTTCTGCAGTGTCTTCTGCAGCCAGGTCTGCATTTCTCAGTCACAGAAGGCCACTGCAGCTGAGAACTGAGCTATGGATTTAGTCCATAGCTCGGTTCTGCAAGACCTCTGCAGCCGAGAACTAAGCTATGGATTGAATCCATAGCTCAGCACTCGGCTGCAGAGGCCTTCGGGAAAGGCCTGACTGCAAATTGCAGGCCAGAATGCAGCTGCAGAATGAAGCTGCTCCTTCTGTCGCAGAATAAGTGGGCTATCTGGGCCGGGCTGTCAGTGCGGGAGGTGAGTATAAAAGACATCCCCTGAAAATAAGACCTGGTGCCACTTCTGGAGACAAAAAAAAAAGACCCGGCCTTATTTTCAGGGAAACACAGGTATATATATATATCTGTATGCATTTAATTACAGATCTATTGTAATGGAGCTAAAGTAGACTCATTTAGGACACACAAATTAGATTGTTCAACTTTAGTGGAAAGCAACAGGAAACAATATATTGCAATGTATAAACATTGGAATTAAACAATATCCGCTGTGGTTATGCTATGATTTAAATAGCTCCGATGATGTTATATGACATCCAGCAGCCAAGCCAGGGATTGAAGGCTAGAAATTATCTGGAGGCTGTTTGTACTTGCAGTTCCCTTTGAAGTATCATGCATGACTTTGTTTGAAATAAGATGATAGAAAGGGAAGGCACAGACTTTCAGGAAAAACCCTAAGTTTTGTGGAGCTCCTTTTGGTTCTATGAGTCTCATTCAAACACTCATTAGATCACATTTGGCAAACATACATAGCAGTTATTAGAGGCATGCAAATGTACAGCATAAGGTCTGGATGCTAATTTCCTTTCCTTTATTGTTTCAAAATCATTTTACAAGAGGATGCATTTCAGATAGAAAGGCAATTGGGGGGAAGGCCCCAAGTAAACTTCCTCACTTTTTTTGCCAGTTTTACACCAAAATTTTCCTTTCTTTTTTCTTTTTGCATGGGATTCAAATGCATCTCTTCTTTTAAGGAGAGGTAATTTTTCACAGACTAATACCACAAGATGATTCTGGGCCAGTCATTCTCTCTCTGCCTTGCCTACCTTGCAGAGTGCTAATGGGTATAAAATGCGGGTGTACGTCACCTTGAATTCTCAGAGACAATAAATAAGTAACATATGCTTTCAGTCCAATCTATAAAAGGTCACTTATTATCATGTACAACAGCATGCAACTTAGTCATAATGAGATTTACTTAATTCAGTATGACTGGATACTAGAATATTCATATATCAATAGAATCATATGTATATATTGTATTTTGCTCAGAAATCCCAGCTGTAAAGGTCCGAGCACTTTTTATCAGAAAAGTGCCACTGAAGGAAAATTTAATTCCAGTTAGCCAATCTTGCAGACCCAATTGAAATCTGGCCACCAGGGGTTGGTTTTAAACTTTTAATGGTATCTAAGCCCAAGCCCTTCTGAAATCTTGTTATACTCATGTATTGTTAGAATCAGATGTTGCTTCGTGCTACTATGCCATTTTTTTAACTTCTATCTATACTGAAAATATTTAAGACATTTACATCCCACTTTTTCTTAGAAATGAGAAAACAGCAAACAGAGGTACTAGTCTTTGAAACTGAACCCTATAGATTACTATGGGTAATCAAATGTGAAGATACAAATAGCACTTCAGAAAAATTCTGTTATACAAGAAACAAGCTTCAAGAAAATACAGGTGTATTTTGGATACATTTGCTTATTTAATATATATTTTATTTTTGTAGATACTGTTAGGTACTATTTTATTATTGTAGATAATGCATTATAGAATAGTATGATAAATCTGAGGCAGGCCAGTTTAAAAAATAATATAAGAATACAGTATCGCAATTAACCATGAAGGTTTTATTGGAAGTTATTTTTTCTTGCCAATTTTAAGAGTCACTTCTCAGACAGTTAAGAATTTCAGGAAACAGCTTTGTAAACAAACACCAGCAAGTTCATCCTTTATCAATAAAAAGATCCACCTTGTTGCTTGTATACAGAAAAGCCACTAGAAGGAAAAGACAAAAGTCTCTGTCCTCATGTCTTAGGAAAATAAATCAGTTTTAGAGGGAAATAGTTAAGTTGTTGAAATTTCTGTAATTTATCTATCTCTTTCACTTCAATAAATCTTTTTAAGACTACCGATTCATGCTTGGAAAAGGATGTGTTTGGTATGAGTCAACTGTTCAAGAGCCACATATCAATAAGGATATAAACAAAAGGATGCACAAGTCAAAATTGGCAAGTCTTTCAGGAAAGCCTGCCTGACGGTTCCTGTCAATGATCTTGAGGCTGTGTCATTGTATAATGGTTGTTGGGAAGATCTGTCTCCAAAAGAATAGGAAACCGTTCAGTCATACTCAAGACAATAAAATGGTGTGGCAGGATGGACACTACATCTGGCTTGCTTATGTAAACTATTTAATTTGTTAGAACAGTTTCTTATCCCACTGGACAGACTGCAATGACAATGAAATCCCAAGTGAGTTCCAGCCCATCAAGAAAGACAATATGGGGGCTAATTAAAAAAAAAGCTTACAGTTGTAAACAAATGTTTATAAAATAGATGAATTAAAGTAGATCCAACCCTCATTCCAGTTGATTTTCATTTCCCAGGCTTAAATATATAGCAATGAGTAAGGATGAATAGGATGAGATTCATCTTGAAATGACAGCACATTAGTCTTTTACAGGACAAGCAACCAAGTACTTCATAGAGAACGAAGATCATATACATCAGAGAAAAACAAACTAGAGAGAGAGAAAACAAAAGATAGAAGGGAAAGGTTAATTAACTATTTCATACATAATTTCTATATTTTCATGTTTATCTTTTATCTATCTAAATTTTTCCCAGAAAAAGCAAAAAGCACATACTTTTCATACATTCGGTACTTACTGAATCAAAGTTATATTTCCAATTTAAACTGCAATTATCCCTCTATTTTCTACCAGTTTTTTCATCATCGCATTACCGTATTAGTTGTTTATTCTTCATTTAGAATTAGTCTAAATGCAATCATTGATTTCAGGTTGTTGAACTTTCTGTTATTCCCCACATACCTAGAACTGACAGTTGAGCATAGCAAAACTCTTAATGACCAAAACGGAATCCAGAACTTTACAAGAGGTTTGCAGCTTCTGTGCAGTGATGACTGGAACAAAAAAGAGTTCTTCCCTACTAAGGGGAGCAGAGATTTTGAAAGGACCAAAAGCAGTGGGGAGGGGGGAGAAGTTGAAGGGAGAGTGTGGTGAAAATGATGCCACATATATGTCTTAATGAATCCAGGGTTAGGATTAAGTGTAGCTTGCCTTGTTGACCTTTTTCCTTTCAAGATCCTTGGGTTAATAGAGCCTGGTTCTTTTTTCAAGAAAGGTCTATCAACCACCTTCTCTTACCCGGGAAAAGCTAAGTTCTAAACTCTTGCATTTGTATGTCCTCCATGGCAACAAAGCCCACTTGCCACTGTGATTCCCTGCCTCTGAGAACTGCAGTAGTCGAGAGCTTGATCCAAAAGAGAGGTCTGTTAGTCCTGCAAAGCATCTCATGAAAATAATGCACGAATTGTCTTGAGGGGGTCTTTGGTTGGATGCAAGCCAAGCATCATCCAAGCCTCACCTTCCACAAGAGTTCCGCTGACTTATTAATATCTCTTCAGCCGCCAAGATTTTCTATCTCTCTTATGTCTTCATTGTCTGTGGAAAGCTCCGTGATGGGACTGGCATAGCCTGCTTAGCAGTATTATACAAATCAGATAGAGCTGAAATTAGGTACAAGCTTAGAAGGGCTTTATTCTCACAGAGCTCTGGATGCAGTCCAGATCAAACCAATAGAATTTCTGTTTCTATAAAATCTGTTATGCCTTATGAATGGATCCCATAGTGGGAGGAGAAGGAAAGAAAGAAGCAAGGGAGGAAGATAGAAAGAAAACTAAAAACCCTTTTGCAGAGAAAAATATATATGCTAAAACCTTTGTTTACATCACGATCAATTTGCACGCATGTTTTGCTTACCTTTGCTTATTTATTATTCCAAATTAAATGATGGTGGTCTATAATGGGAGATCTCCCATTTATTTACATTTCAATTTTTGATAGTCATAGGAGAGCTTGCTGAGTTTCGGTGGAGGGCCAGATACTTTGAATAAAGGTATAAATAAAATCTAAAAAAAATTCATTTGAAATGTTGGAACTATAATACCATAAAAAAGGGATCAACTAGTCTTCCTGATGAAGACCGATTCCTGCCATTCTTAAGGATCTTTTTAAAAATAAAAAGGCAACGCATTTATTCCATATACAAAAATAAATGTTCTGTAGCTGTATATTACTGAACCCATTTGTGTAAGTTTACAAGACTATAAGACTATAATTAGAATGTCATTAAGGCTTACCTGGTTTACCTTATTTTCACAAGGATCTGTGGCTCGGTCCAACCCATACTCAAGTGTATCTTGCATTCCAGGCTATAATATAGAAACAAAACAAAATGTAACAAAGATGTATTTATGCCATATTATTTTTTAAAACATTGATCTGTGTACAGGCAGTCCTTCACTTACAAACTTTCATTTAGTTCAAAATTACTACAGCATTGAAAAAGTGACTTAGGACCATCCCCCCCCCCACCTGATCTTTGCAGCATCCCCAGGGTCATGTGATCAAAATTGAGACGCTTTGCAACTAACATGTATTTATGACGGTTGCAGTGTCCCAGGGTCATGTGATCACCTTTTGGGGCCTACTGATAAGCAAAGTCAATGGAGGAGCCAGACTCACTTAACACTTAATGTGTTAGTAACTTAATAACTATACTGATTCATTTAATAACTGTGGCAAGAAAGGTCATAAAACGGGGCAAAACTCAGTTGCAGTGTCCTGGGGCCAAAATTCACTTAACAACTGTCTTGCTTAGCAACAAAAAATTTTGGGCTCAATTGCGGTTGTAAACTGAGGACTACTTGTAAAATAAATAAATATAGCCACAGTAATAGATGGACCACAAAAGATGCAGTAGCACATTTCCCTTTTCTATGTATCAATGCTATGAAATGTATCCATTGCTGCATTAGATAACTCATAAACAAGAGCATTTTTCTAGCAAAACCTGGGCAAGGGAAGTTGACTCATAAAAAAAAAGAAAGAAAGCATTGCCCATTGGAGAAAGGAAGGCTTTGACATAATAAACAGATTGGTGCTGCTATGACATCTGCTTTGAGCACAGCTGAGTTTGGATCTGCTATCTGATGTCTGCTGAAGTTGGGCCATCAATAATTAAACCTCAACCAGTGCTATCTTAAAAGGGGAGGGGGGGGGAAGGAAAACAGTTCAAGAAAGAGAAAGATCCAAAAGCAAGCCTGAGGTGATCAAAGGTGTTTCAGCAGGAAAGATGAACTGGGACCAAAGGGGCTGTTGCAGTGTGTAGACCTTATCTACAGATGGTACTTTCCCACCCCCCTCCCTCAAGTCAAGCTCCAATTATAGCCTGACATTTGCTGGAGGCTTCTACTTTTCTGTCTGTTAACTGCTGGGCTCTCAGTGGCCATTTACACTGTGTGCACAATTAAAAGTGGATCTTTGATTATGATTTGGGATTAGGGAATGTAGTTCCTTGGCAAGCGTCAGAGTCCTATGACCTGCTGTGATCAGTGTAGTAACTGCTCAGGAAACAACTCCCAGCATCTGCCAGAGGCGCCTCCCAAAGACTAGAAACCGTGCTGTTGTTGGATGCCCAGCTTGATGTCTTTTTCCAACATGGAAAAGTTGCCAAAAGCACCCTGCGGAGCAGCTGAAGGCATGGAAGATGAATGAAGGGAAATTAGATAATCAGGAGGCAGCAATTCCACAAACCTGCACTTAAATTTTGGGCTTTTGGCAATAACTTCAATTGGTTTTGAGCTGAGATTACAATCACAACCCTGTAGAAATAGGAATCAAACTACAGTAGCTTTGTTCGTGGAATCAAATATAAACAATGCAAACTTTTGCACAATGCACAACTGCCAGAAGATGCAGGGATAACCCATGGCTGCTTCCTGGGCCAACTTGTCCCCTGCTTCCTTGTCTCTTTATTGTCCCTTTTTTACTCCTGCAACAGACCCCAAATTGTATGCTCACACAAATGGTGGGAATTTAATAACTCACAGATGTAATGCCGCAATCCCCCACACACATGTTTAGCATTTATTATTTATTGTTTATGTGTGAATGTCTGCATAAAACCACCAATTAGAAATAGTCCTCCACTTAAGACTACAATTGAGCACAAAATTTCCATTGCTAAGCAAGACAGTTGTTGTTTTGCCCTGTTTTACGATCTTACTTGCCACAGTTGTTAAATGAATCACTGCAACTATTAAATTAGTAAAGGGTTGTTAAGTAACTCTGTCTTCCCCATTGATTTTTTTTTTTGCTTGTCAGAAAGTAGCAAAAAGTGATCACAAGACCCAGGGACTCTGCAACTATCATGAATACATGCCAGTTGGTTAGCCTGAATTTTACATCACATGGCCAAGGGTATATCGCTAGGTCGTAAGTGTGAAAAACAGTCATAAGTCATTTTTTTCAGTGCTATTCAGTGAATGGCCACTAAAAAATGATTGTTAAGTCGAGGACTACCTTACATAGGATTCTGGGCTGCCTATGACTAAAGATATAAAATACAGTACAGATAATCCTCAACGTATGACCACAGAAAGCAAAATTTCTGTTGCCAAGCGAGAAATTTGTTAAGCAAATTTTGCCCCATTTTACAATTTTTCTTGCCATATTTATTAAGTGAATCACTGCAGCTGTTAAGGTAGTAACATAGCTGTTAAGTGCATCTGGCTCCCCCATTGACCTTGCTTGTCAGAAAATTGCAAAAAGTGATTGCATGACCTCAGGACACTGCAACTGTCACAAGTGTGAGTCAGTTGTCAAGCATCCAAATGTACATTACATGACCATGGGGATGCTGCAATGGTCATAAGTGTGAAAAATGGTCATAAGTCACTTTTTTGGTGCCATTGTAACTTCAAATGGTCACTAAATGAACTCTTGTAAGTTGAGGACCACCTGTATCATACATTGGCTTGCCATCTTAAATTCTTTTGGATAATTTCTAATCCAACAGAATTTAAGATGGCAAGCCAATGTAGGAATATAGACCAATCAAATGGAAACCCATTCCAAGTGGAGGCTGTCTATTAGGTTTGATTCACTACTCAGGCCTCGTAATTTTTCAATCGTAGTTCCCATGTAGGGAGGAAAAGAAATAATTTCCATGCCCCTTTGATGCCAAAAGACTAAGGACATGCCTTAAAATATATGGTGAAGAACATTAATGGAAGACTTAAAGACTCTAAACATCACATATATATCTGTTTCAGGAATAAAGAAAGCTACCGATCCTTTTTGAAGCAAGACCATCTATGTCAGGGGTTCTCAACCTTGGCAACTTTAAGACTTGTGGACTTCAACTCCCAGAATTCCTCAGCCAGCAAAGCTTTGCTGGCTGAGGAATTCTGGGAGTTGAAGTCCACAAGTCTTAAAGTTGCCAAGGTTGAGAACCCCCGATCTATGTGTTGTGTTGCTATCTAGGTCATCATTTTATCTTTGGATTCAACCTGCCTTGACAATCAATGACTCATGAGGGAAAGTAATTCTCATTTTCCAAGTCATTTTAACACAAAAGAATAAAGTGTCCCATTGATTTAAATCGGGGAGGGAATATGCTTAGGGGCAAGACATTCAGCATGCCTGTAATGTTGCCTCCAGTTATTACAGTACATTGCAATCATCTTGTGTTACAGCACAAACATATTTATTCAAAAGGTAAATCTATTCTTGCTTACAGGAGTCCGTTGCACCAGCCAGTAGGCTTTCTCTTGGTAATCCAAAGTATGCCGGTCTTTTTTTGTTCGTTCCTTTCCTGCGCTGCAAATCCAAGAAGCTTTTATTAAAAAATAAATCAAAACAGGAGACTATTTTTTTTTTCAGATTATTTATCCACTCTAACAGGAAATAACATAAACATGGTATGGAATTTTCTTGCAAGATCTTTAATACACACAATGAAGAAAAATCTGCCACTTCATTGTATAAATATTCCCTTTTTTTTGGGATTCAGGGATCATTCTTTGTATATTTCTTTCTAAATAGTAGTAATAGTCCAACCTTGAATAAGCTAAGAAGATGGTAAGTAAGATGTTTTCTTAAAAAAAGAAAAAGAAAGAAATTACAATAAAGGAATTGTGTTATCCCCATTTTACGGCCAAGGGTCTAAGGCTGTGACTTCTAAATTAAAATGAGATAAAGCAACTCCAAACTTTACTATCATATTATGAAATTGGCCACGTACAGTCACTAAAAAAAATTATCCTCAGACAGATATCAGTATAAGCATCCCATTACCAGAGGAAAAAGAAAATAACATTTATGCCAAGAATTTGGACATGGACAGACCATTGTCAATATATTTTATTTATGGGCAAAACTGCAAGTCCATTATTAATGATGAGGCTCAAAGCAAAGGCAGAGGCAGGTCAATTTTTGATGACCTTTCTTAAAAGGAGGGAGAAGGTGAAATAAAATTGCTATTGAATACCTGCAGCTCTTTATTACTTATTCCTTTGCTCAAACAAAATGCAGGTAATCCTCAACTTATAACCACAATTGAGCTCAAAATTTCCACTGCTAAGCAAGACAATTGTTAAGTGAGTTTTGGCCCATTTTATGACCTTTCTTGCCACCATTGCTGAGTGAAATAATGACTTCCCCATTGATTTTGCCTGTCAGAAGGTCGCAAAAGGTGATCACATGACCCTGGGATACTACAACAGTCATAAATACATGCCAGTTGCCAAGCATCCGAATTTTGATCATGTGACCACAACGATCGTTAAGTGTGAAAAATGATCACAAGTCACTTTTTTCAGTGCTGTTGTAACTTCAGTCACTAAATGAATGGTTGTAAATCGAGGACTACCTGCCCATCCCCATCACCACCTCAGTTAAGAAATGTTTCCAACCTGTACTGTTCCTTGGCTTGCATAATAATGAAGTCCCATTTATAATTGATGCGTTTGTTCAACATGCTATAATGTTCCTGGAAAAAAAACAGGAAGGCAAAGGCAATATTGTTATGCACTCACCACAAAGGATGTGATAAACAGTTGCAACACTGACTTTAGGCACCAAGCATAAAACAAGCAAGGTTGGTAACATTTTTCAACAAAACTTCTTAACATTAATCACAATGGCAATAGCGAAGTGGTCAGTACTTAAAAGGGATAAATATTTTGACGATGTTTCAAAATAATGAGAAGGAAAAGATTGTGTATTTTATTCTACATAGGTATATTTCACTTGCTGAAAAGAGATCCCGGGTGGAAGGTGGAATTAAAAATGCACTGGAGCATGTACAATGCAATAACATTAAAACATACAAAATATAGTACAGCTAGTCCTCAATTTACAAGCATGACTGAGCCCCCAAATTTCCACTGCTAAGCAAGATAGCTATTAAATGAATTTTGTCTCATTTTACAACTTTTTTGCCACTGTTGTTAAGTGACTCCTTGCAGTTGTTAAGTGAATCTGGCTTCCCCACTGACTTTGCTTGTCAGAAGGTCGCAAAAGGTGATCACATGACGCTGGGACACTGCAACTGACATAAATACATGCCAGTTGCCAAGTGTCCAAATTTTGATCACATGACCATGGGGGACGCTGCAGCAATTGTAAATGTGAAAAATGATCCCTTTTCCAGCGCCGTTGTATCTTCAATCACTAAATGAAAGTTTGCAAGTCAAGGATTCCCTGTAAAGAATGCATAATGATTGTAAGAAGAGAAGTATGTACTTCAGACTGAAGCCTAAACAGTGTTTTGGAGCTGGCATGGACGTGTACCTTCCATCTCCTTAAGAAGCAGTGAAGCCAGGAAAATGTTGTTGTTAGTTGCAAAGTCGTGTCCGACCCATCGCGACCCCATGGACAATGTTCCTCCAGGCCTTCCTGTCCTCTACCATCTTCTGGAGTCCCTTTAAGACAGGGGTGTCAAACTCAGTTTCATTGAGGGGCGCATCAGCATTGCGGTTGCCCTCGGGGGGGTGGGTGTGTGCAGCCAGGGTGTGTGCGGCCTACTGGGTGGGCATGGATGGAGTGGGTGTGGCCTACTGGGTGGGCATGGCCAGCTCTACATCGTTCAAGGGTGTCTGTGGGGGCCTGGGCAGGAGTGGGACAGATCTGAGGGTCTCTGGCAGAAGGGGGTGGGACCGGGGCAAGCGCCAAGGCATGGTCCATTTCTTCATTCCTCACAAAGAGTGACACCTCCCCAGCATGCACCCAGGGGGCGGGGCTGACACAGCAGGGGATGGTTCCTCGCTGTTTCTAGACTGCCTTCTGGAGCTAAGACTGAATGCGTTTCAGCATAGATGGCCACCACAAAATTGTACATTGGCTCCCGGACAGCCTGGGCCAGGGGCAAGGCAGCAGGAGCCATTCCCTCACTGTTTTCAGGATGGCTTCACGGGCCACATGAAACCACTTTGCAGGCCGCATCTGGCCCCCGGGCCTTGTGTTTGACATGTCTGCTTTAAGCTCACGCCTACTGCTTCAGTGACTCCATCCAGCCACCTCATTCTCTGTCGTCCCCTTCTTCTATTGCCTTCGATCTTTCCCAGCATTAGGCCCTTCTCCAGTGAGTCCTTCATTCTCATTAGGTGGCCAGGAAAATATGTTTGATTTAAGGCACTGCCAGGGCACTACACCTGCTCAAAAACATCTTATTGTATCCTATCAGAGCCTCCCTAACTCAAGGGCCCTCTTTCCTGCAATCGTACAGTTTGTATGTGAGCCCAGGAAAAGAGCCAGCTTAGTAGTTACGTTGTGCATACTGTTGAGATTAATCAATGCCAATTCAAACTTGAATAAGACAGCACTCATCTATGGTTTCATTACTGAGATCTGGCATCTACAAGCCAGTGGTTACAGGCCTGACCACCACCACCCCCTGCCCAGCATCAGCATATGTCAGAGGGTTGGGAGGAATGCTGTCTTTGATTAAAATTCTGTCTCACCCGGAAACTATTTTGTGTGGGAGATGGCTGTGACAGTTTGTGTCTAGCATTATTTATTTATTTGCTTGTTTATTCAATTTCTATAGTTGCTTACCTCAGTCAATGACTCTGAGTGGCTTACAATTCCAAAAGAAAAAAACAAATACTATATAAAAGTAGTCCTTGATTTACAACAGTTCATTTAGTGACCGTTCGAAGTTACAGTGGCATTGAAAAAAGTGACTCGTGACCGTTTTTCACACTTACGACTGTTGCAGAATTCCGATGGTCAAAATTCAGACCCTTGATAACTGACTCATATTTGTGACGGCAGTGTCCCAGAGTCATGTGAGCACCTGTGGTAATCTTCTGACAAACAAAGTCAATGAGGAAGCTTAACAATTGTGTTACTAACTTAACAACTGCAGTAATTCACTTAACAATTGTGGCAAGAAAAGTCATAAAATTCACTTATCAACCGTTTCGCTTAACAACAGAAATGTTGGGCTCCATAGTGGTCGTAAGTCTATATTGTTTGGTATAGAAATTCTGACAGGCTTCCAAGATTCTATTATTATACCCTACAATAATAACATAGCATTCCTGTAATCCTTGTCTATTTCCTAACCTGGCCTACCTCAAAGGACTGACATCGAAAGCAACTGGACTTTCTTGTTTTTTATTTGAAGACGTTTTGCTTCTCACCCAAGAAGCTTCTTCAGCTCTGAGTAGATGATGGGGAATGGAAGGATTTATATTCTTGGCAGACAGCTGGTCATTTGCATTCTTCTCAGTCATCCAGTCATGGTTGTCCCAACGTGCTTTTTAAAACGGCAACTGGGCTTTCTTGTTTTTCTTTGAAGACATTTCCGATGACCCTGAGAACACAGAAAACCTCCAAATGGCCTCAACAACTCTCTAAAAAATGCAAATGACCAACTGTCTGCAAGGAGTATAAATCCTTCCATTCCCCACCATCTAGTCAGAGCTGAAGAAGCTTCTTGGATGAGAAGCAAAACATCTTCAAAGAAAAACAAGTAAGTTCAGTTGCCTCCTGAAAAGCACCATGACCGGGGCGACTGAGAATCTCCATAGACATCTAGCTATGCACTTTGGGATGGACACTCTTCGAATGGTGAGGGAGTATGAATGGATTTCCAGAAAACATTGCAGACTACAGGAATGCGCGCGGCAGAAAACATCCTGCAGCCACGAAGGCTCCACACACATTTGCACTACTCAGGTAACCCCGAGGACAAAGAAAGCCTCCAAAGAGCCTGAACGACTTGCTAAAAGAATGCATATGACCAGCTGTCTGCAAGGAATATAAATCCTTTCATTTTCCCACCATCTAGTCAGAGCTGAAGAAGCTTCTTGGATGAGAAGCGAAAGGTCTTCAAAGAAAAATAAGAAAGTCCAGTTGCTTCCTGAAAACGCACTTTTGGGACAACCACGACCTGGATGACTGAGAATCTCCATAGACATCAATCTTGAAAGTTGCCAAAGTTTTGAACAACTATTACTCAGTTTGTTTCTTCGCTGTGGTGCTTACAAGCATTCAATTCCTAGTTCTATATGGTGTGGTACTGTACAGTATATTATGGTGTGGTGTGCTATGGCATGGTAGATAGTTCATACTATATTCTTTCAAAGAAGAAGGTTGTTGTTAACCCATTCATAGATGGGATGACAACAACTTTGAACAAAACTGCCTTTAAGTTAATCTATTTTGCTTTTGCTTTTTTGAAAATGAACTGTTTTTCATTTTCATCTTAATTGTTTTCAAACCTTGTTATTCTTATTATATGGACTTAAGATTATTTCTTCCTTCTCTTACAAAGTACTCTTGTTCTTTTGAGGAAAAAGCGGCATATAAATAAAAGAAGGAACTAGCACATTCTTAAGCCTCATCTGCTTATCATATCTCAATAATCTGATTTGGCAAACTTACCAAGTATTGGAATAATGCTACTGGGTAAGATGCTTAGACAGAACATTGCATACGAAAAAATATCTTCCTACCTTTTCATAATCTTCTAGCGCTCCTTTCTTCTTAATATTTCTCTTTGCTAGGTAAATGGCTGGGGATAGTTTTTAAAAAAGAGAACATACATTATATGCACAGCTGCAAAAACCAAATGAATATGATTCATGTTAACATTTAGCCTGAATGTTATGCAATATTTTCCAAAGGGAGGGTGTCCCACAAGGGCATCCAGCCAAGACAGATGGAATTCCAGGGAACCAAGCTTCACAAGAACACAGGTGCTGGTGTTTAGTTCAGACACATCATCTTGAACCACACTATAGATGTGGAGGAGGCAACAGCAAGTAAGGGGCAGATAGAAGTTCAGGGAAGTTTAGATGGGAAGCATCCTTTAAATAACAGTAGCCAAATACCTTGAATTAACGTATGTGCAAGGTATATATACAGCAAAGATCAGAACTGCTGTTTTCAGATCCTAGTCAGCATATTTTTACTCATGACTTTAAAATGGGAATGACTTTCAGTATTGTTCAAAGACCAAGGGTTGCTTAAGAATGTAAATTTTGCTGCATTGTGTCCAATGAAGATACTGTAGGAACTCTTAAAGCATATTTATTTTATTCATTTATTAAATTTTTATGCTACCCTTCTATCCTATGGACTGCTTACAAGTTATAAAAACAAGTAGAATAATAATTCAAATATTAAAACTGCACAGATGAAGATTTTAAAACGAGAGAGAGAGAGAGAAAGAGAGAGAGAGAGAGAGAGAGAGAGAGAGAGAGAGAGTTTTGATATTTTCTTAACAGGCTTTATCAGATGGTGACAATTAGCTGCCCTATTTACAGTAGCTGCTTCATCCTTAGTCAGATCACCAATCTATCTATTACACACCCAGTTATCATGGCTGATTATGGCTTTTAAGGCCTTCTCTTGCCTCACTAGAGGTCCTTTCAACTGTAGAGGCTAGAAACTGAACGTAGGCCTTTTTATAAGTAAGCTGGTACCTTACCACAGAACTAAGAGACTCTTACACATTACCCAGTTTGGTAAGTCTGAATGAAACAGTTTGGAAGATAAAAAGGATATCTGCAATTGGCAATCAAGAAGCAGTACTGAAAAGATTGTGTACAATAGAGTTGTTGACCAAAACTTATTTGACTGAAGAGCACCTGTACGTATGGATATCTTCTTCCTTTTCAAGAGATTATATCTTAAACTTCTTAAACCCATAAGTGTAAGAGGGAGCCTGTCTTTGCTGTCTCAATGCCTTCATTCAGAGAAATAGAGACATGGGGAAAAAGAAACTCGGACTGTAATGCAGTCCTAAAATTTCAGTTACTTTTTGTGGTACATGTTCTTCCACATGTTGCTGTACTTCTTTCTCAATACTTTTTCTTTTTTATATAGATATTTTATTGGTTCTTACACAGTGCAGTCTCTTTTATTTCATTCAAACTTCCCGGGAATCCACAATGGGTTCCTAAGCAGCCCAGAATTGTTTTTCTCATTGGAATAGCATTTTATTTTTGAGAAGAAGGTTTCTACCTTGGATCCCACTCAGAATTTCTTTAAATTCGTTGAAATTGGATTTTCTGAAATCTAGCCTGTGTGTATGTTCATTAGAGAGAGATGAACTGCTATTTAAAATGACATTTTAAATAAAAAGCAATTAATGGGAGAGAAGAACGTATTTTTCTCAATAAATGACTACTTCTACCAAAGTTATTAGAACAGGACATTTTGATTTTATGTAATTTTTGCCGATATTGATGTTTCACCAAGAAAAGGGAGGTAATATGTTAAACTTACCATAATCCGTATCTTCTGCTCCCCACTGCTGGGTTGGCCAAAAGTAGGGTGTCTGTAGGAAGGAAGACAAAAACTAAGAACCAAGTTATTGATAAATCTCTTAACAAGTTCTTCTAATTCATTCTTAGATTTAATATTTCACCACTAGACAAATAAAGCTTAAAAGGTTTTTAAATTCTTTTCAACATGTTTCTTCCCTATTATTCCCAATTATTTTAGAACAGCTTTGAATAATGTTTTGACAATGGGTGGGGGAGCCAAAAAGTGTGAAACGAAAGCCGAAGATGATAAAAGATGGTGAGCTTAGTGGCTCTTCAAAGTTACAACAGTCAGTGAAAAGGTGATTTACAATCAGTCCTTGCACTTACAACCATTGTAGCATCCCCATGGACACATGGTCAAGGTTTGGCAACCGATACATATTTGTGAGGGTTGCAACATCCCAACATGATTGCCCTTTGCGACCTTCCCAGCCAGCTTCTAACAAACAGTCAATGCTGGAAGCTGGATTCACTTAACAACCATGTGATTCACTTAACAACTGCAGTGATTCAACTGCAAAAGAGTCATGTAGCAAAAAGAAGCATAAAATTATGCCCAATTGACTTAACTGCCATGCTAAAAAAAAAACAGAAATTTTGATCCCAATTGTGGTCATAGGCCAAAAGCTACCTGTGATAATATTAGAAAAATTAATTAAGCTTTAAAATTGCAGATTCTCTCTTAGTATTTGCATTTCATGGTGAAAATGTTATATGTAGTGCGATGTAGTCCTCATTTAGATACCACAATGTGAACTGGCAATTTGGCTGTTAAGTGAAGCAGTCACTAAGCAAAACCGCGGATGCATTATTTCCTTAATTCGACTTTCTTTTGCTTTACAGACCTGCAAAGTTTGTAAAAGTGAGGGTTACATTGTAAAGTTACTTTTTCATCCCCACTGTAACTACAGAGAGTCATTAAATGAGGTAGTCGCTGAACGAGGACTACTTATAATCAGTTTGCTGCTGCTTTTCACTTTTATGTTAAAATGGGTATGGTTGTTTTACTGCATCAGAATTGTGTTTCATTTTGTGATTATTAAATTTTATAACAAGGAAAATATGAAAGATGCAAAAATAAGCCAAGGTAGGATAGAAGCAAAATGTAGATATTGGAGGTAAAAATGGTGGGGAAATTTTGTCCTTACTCCTTTTCCAACTTCCATGATAGAATTCAAAGCAAAAAAAATTGTCCCTCTTTTACTGTGGCATAGCCTGTATTGGGATTACAATTTTCAGGATGCCCAACCTGGCTGACAATTCTGAATTTTATAATCTGGGGGTATAATCTGGAGAAGTTGGGGAGACATGTACCTTCGCCTCCTGCCCCATACTACTTTTTCTTTTAGCATCATTTTCTTAATTTTAAGGGTTTTTATCATTTGTTGCTGTTGCTTTCCAAGATCATTTTTACTGCATGACACTTTATGGAAGCAACTGTACAGGCCATTGTGACTGACAGGCAACAAGTACATGCTTTAAGAAAAAAAACAAAAATGCATCATTAGTTCCTGCCAGGATGGAAAGCAAGTTGCCTGTCTCCTATCGGCATTAGCAATCCCCCTACCTGGAATCTATAGAGACTGGTATCCCCTCTGAGATTCAAATTCCTTCGGTCTTGAAGAGGATAGATGTACCCACACTTGATGATCATACTTCCCAAATGTAGCCCCTCTTAAAGAAAAAAACAATACAGATCAGTTGCTTTCCATGGGACACACAGAATAAAGCCGAACAATCAGAGAGTACCCACTTTAGGGGAGAAAAAACACATCATTTAAAAAATAATTGTACATCCTTACCTTCATTGGTAATCTCCAAACGCTTCATAATCCACTGCAGTATATCACAACCTGAAGGACAAAGACAACACAGGGAACAATTTTAAGGCAACCCAAGTTTCACTCCCCCTTTTCTTCCTGGTTAGTACACGCAGTCCTCAACTTATGAGCAAAATTGAGCCCAAAATTTCTGCTGCTAAGCAAGACAGTTTTTAAGTGAGTTTTGCCCCATTTTATAATTATATCTTGCCATGCTTGCTAAGCGAATCACTGCAGTTGTTAAGCTAATAACACACCTTGTTGAATGAATCTGGCTTCCCCATTGACTTTGCTTGTCAGAAGATCGTAAAAGGTGATCACATGATACTGGGACATTGGTACCATCATAAATATGAACCAGTTGTGAAGCATCCAAATGTAAATCACATGACCATGGAGATGCTGCAATGGCTGTAAGTGTGAAGAATGGTCGTAAGACTTTTTTCAATACTATTGTACTGTAACTTTGAACGGTCACAAAACAAATGGTAAGTCAAGGACTACCTGTAGAAACAATACTTATATGTAGAGGCAGTGGGAAAACTAGAAATCACAGCACCATGAACAGACAACTTGCATATAATATTTGGCTAAAAGGGAAAGCAGGATTATCGAAAATGTACATGTGCATGTCCTGTTTGGTGGCAAATAAAACCAAAACATTACGCTTACAAAATATTTGCAGTTCTTTTAAAGGCTTTTAAAAATCTTTACTACTTTAAAACAAACACACACACAAAAGAAGCAAATTACTGCAGGAATCTACAGCACAGCACAGTGGAAAATATGATCATAGTTATCTTCTGGAACACTTGTCAATCTTATTTAACCTGACTCTTAAATTGTTTTAGTGTTTCTTAAATTTACAGAAACGGAAGGCTGCTACAAAAGAAAAGGCTCACTTCTAGCATTCTTTTTGTTTGCAAAATGCCTTTCAGCTTCACATACACCACCTAGAAATCTCTGCATATTAAAAATGGAAGGCGACAGCAGCCTAAGGGCCTTGTTTGCAAAAGAACCTATTTGCCAAGAAAGAAAGCAATGTTAGTAAGTTGTTCACTTGCTTTCTGGGAAATGGACATATTTAGAGAGAGGTAGGTCATCTTTGGATGTTTTGTGAGTAGGCAAGACATAAGGTCATTTTGTTAAACTGCCATTTGCATAATTCCAAATTAATTCAGGGGCTCGAAATGGCTGACCTTATCTCAGCTATTGTAGTTATCTGAGGAAAGATATGAAATACAGGTAGTCCTCGACTTATAATCATTTGTTTAGTGACCGTTTGAAATTACAACAGAACTGAAAAAAGCTGCTTATGACCATTTTTTCACACTTATGACCATTGCACAATCCCCGTAGTCATCAAAATTCAGATGTTGGGCAACTAGCATGTATTTATGACAGTTGGACTGTCCTAGGGTCATGTGATCACCATTTGTAACCTTCCCAGCTGCCTTCCAAGAAACCAAGTCAAAGGGGGAAGTCAGATTCAGTTAAGAACCACATGATTCACTTAACAATTGCAGAGATTTGCTCAACAACTTTGGCAAAAAGGCCATAAAATGGGGTAAAAGTCACTTGACTGTCTTGCTTAGCAACAGAAAGTTTGGGCTCAGTTGTGTAAGTCAAAGACTACATATAAGTGAAAGGATAAGAGTATGAACAAAGGAAAGAAAAACACCTGTTACTTGGTCCCGTTTTTTATTCTAACCAAAATAACGGTGCCAGTCCCCAAATGATCCCTTGGCCTAATAGTAACTTGAGTTCTGTGGTCTTTTGAAAGACTTCAGTATTTATTATGACTCTAATGATTTAAAGCGACTTGCTTTTTGACCAAAAAGAACCCTTTTCTTCTGATTTCCAAAGCACATGTTTTGCTACATTTAATTGTTAAAAGATGAACTCTGCCTTGAGTTTGCAGCTGAAAAACTAAATTATAAAGCAACATATGGGGAAATGTGAACTAAACTGTATTCTCTCAACAAGGTGACTCACTGGGAACACACTATTTCCTCTACAAAAGAAAACAGCAGGTTAGCCAGCAGTCATGTATTTCAACTAAAGAGTTATTTGGAAATTAAAAATGCAACACAAAAGCTGGCATCAGATTTTAAAGGCTAGATTCTAGAAAAGTGTTTCTCAACCTTAACAATTTTAAGGCATGTGGGCTTCAACTCCCAGAATTCCACAGCCAGCATTTAAAATGCCTTAAAATTGTCAAGGTTGAGAAACACTGTTCTAGAACTTATATCCCAGCCAGTAAAAGAGTATTCAGAGAATGCAAATGAACATTAACGCTGTCTTCAAGTACATTTAATTAATGGAAAATTGCTAGTAGAGAGGAAAATGAAGAAGACACATTTGTGGTTTTCTAATCTAAGAGGGGTTTTTTTTTAAAAAAAAAAATGGAAAGTAAAAAAATCTTTCTTATAAATCAGAAAAGTAATGCACACTTCCAGGTCTGTCAAAACCAGATATCTAATTTGGGAACAAATCCATTTCTCTCGGCATGTTCAGCCACGCTCAATTCTAAACGCTGCCAAAATGCAATTCAAAATGCTACCCTTTCCTGACATGTGGCTGCTTGATAGACACACACCAGCATTCAGGGTTTCTTATCCCCATTATGGAAACTGCTTCCCAAAATAGAGGAAATTAAAAGATTAACCTGTCCCTCAGACCCTGCTTAGGTCACCTTATCTGCATCTGCTTTTCCCCTTAAGAGATTATGTTTATTGTCAGAACCCTGAATTCACCTGTTACTACATTCAGAGGAATGCAGAGGCCTTCTATGTTTTCTTCCTCTTAAAAGATATAACCACTACAATTTCAAGTATTTTTTTCATTGATAAATGAGTAAAATATAAGTAGGCAGGGCAACTGAAATGGTTTAAATTGGAGGCTACTATGAGACAATTACTGTATGAAAACAACACCAATCAAATCGCCTTTGAACTAAGAAAACCATTATTTGATGCATATGATATAAGTTCAAAGTTCAATGAACCACAGAAAAGGACTGGAAAGAATATTTCGAGGTAATGACTGGTTAGGGAAATGGTGTCGATAGGACAGAAATATTTCCTAGGACTAGCATCTGAACTAGTTAGAGCAGGGGTCTTCAAACCTGGCCCTTTTATGACTTGTGGACTTAACTCCCAGAATTCCTCAGCCAGGCATGCTGGCTGAGGAATTCTGGGAGTTGAAGTCCAAAAGTCATAAAAGGGCCAAGTTTGAAGACCCCTGAGTTAGAGTAGCAGGCTGCACTTTACAAGGCCTGTAAAAATGTGTGCAGTCAAACGATGGCAAGCTGGTTCAGGAGGGCTTTAAATGGAATCTGAGGGTTGGGGGAGGGAAATGAAAAACCTGTAAATAATTTGGGTAAAATCTTGTGCGCTTTAGAAAGAGGGACTGTTGCTGAAGAATGCTTCTTAAACTACTCAAAGAAAAACAGGAAAGAACGCTAGTTCTTAAAATCATGACCTGTGTTGTCTACCCAGTAAGGATCAGAAGTGATGAAATGATGGTAGACTGTTACTTTAGTGGGCTGTAAATAAAGGATTAGATATTTCCTTATAAAGAAAGGGATAGAAAGCTAGGAGAAGGGAAGAGGAGAGAAGCAACTGACAGTGTTAGAAAACAACAAAGGAAACAAAAAGGGGAAAATCTGTATAAATTAAAAGAAAAGAGATATACAGATGGCTCTTCTGGAAAAGTAAACAGTCAAATGAGGTTTTCCTGCTGTACCTCTAAAGAAAAAGATATATCTTATATTACTCAATATAAAATTATTATTACAGATTTAATTTTCTTCAATCAACTCTGAGTTACCGGAAGACAGAATATTATCTCTACCCCATGCCTAAAATACTAACTTCCATGATAATCTTACAGTTCTTATATTGAGATTATTATTTTGTAGTAGTGACAGTACATTTTTAATACACACACAGGTACTCCTTGATTAACAACCACTTGTTCAGTGACCATTTGAACTTGCCACAATATTGAATAAATGGTACTTACAACCATTTTGAATCTTATGTTCCTGCTGTTACAATGTCCCTTCAGTCATGTAATCCCAATCTGGATCCTTATGATGTTGCAACTTTTCACAGTCACTTGACCTTCTTTGCCAGGATTTTATTAACAAAGTCAATTGGGAAAACTGCAGGAGATCACAAATGGTGACCACATGATTTCCTTGCTTAACAGTCATGCTGAATTCACTTAACCAGGAAGTGCTAGAATTGCCATCACAGTCATGTGACATCACATTTTATAACATTTTATAGCAATGGAAATTCCAATCCCAATTGCCATTGCTAAAGAATAAGCTATGGAAGCAAAACAAGAACAGTTTTCCTTAGCATTGTCTGACCTTAAAATAGATGCTGAAATTGGTTTTAAATGAATAGCTTCTAGTACTACCACCAAAACTATTACGCAGCTAGTCTGTCTTTGTCTCCTTAATGCAGGCATGTCAAACTCGCGACGTCGCATGACGTATCGGAGCTTTTTCGCCATTGCCGGCAATGGGGTGGCCGTGGCTCCGGTATGATGAAACCGGCCCGCAGGCCGGCAGTTTGACACCCCTGCTTTAATGGATTCTTCGGTACAATTAAAATAATGGAAGAAATGGGAAATCAAAGAAAGGCTACAAAGGGGAGACAATAATGTCAAGATTTTTATAGGGAAGGTTGCTGTGAGGGTGGTGGAGAATCAGCTGCAGAATATTCTAGAAGGAGCAGATTATCTAGATTCCTTACATCTGATATTCATGTCTTTATTATCCTTTTTCCTCTACAGTGTCAGGATGGCAATTTCCGTTGTCATCTTCTTGAACTGCTATTATGACTGTTTTCCAACATCAAAGGCAGGAATAAAGTGACTGATGAATATGGAGTAATAATGCATAATGAAAACCTAATGTTTGAGATTGCCTTCAATTGTCCAGTATGTCAGACTTACCAACCACAGCATGCGGAATGCTGCTGTCCGGCAGGTTCTGGATTTGCGTTTTGATGCCAGATTGTGGATCTTGCATTTCTACCAACAAAAGCTCCAACTGCAAATTGTAGTAGAGACATATTAAGAATTAAACAAAAGGAAAAACAGTAAGAATTACACGAGTATACAAAATAAACAGAGAGATTATTCCTTGACTTAATTAAATGCACCAATAAGAAAAAGGAATTATTTTAACCACTGTTTTAACTGTTCTATTACTGGAGTCATTGGTTTTAACTGTGGCTGATTAATGACAGGTTAGTACACAAGAAGACCATCTCCATCCACAACGTGGTGACTGAGGAACACTTTAACCTGGTGTCAGATCATTTTTCATTGGAAGGTGGACCAGAACCTATGAGGATGTGGGGAAGCATTATTTTGGTTTGTCCCAGTTGCCTAATAGATCCGGATGGTTTTCAGAAGACACTTGGGGTTTCCCCCAACAATCTAGTGGACAGTTCTATCTCATGCCTGGTCAACCAGTAGAATGTGGAGGTAACCAAACTACATTATACAGAGCAGCCTTTCTCCATTTGCCATTTACTACTGAGGAGCTGAAGGAAATGAAGTGACTCAATATACTTGAAATGATGTTGGCATAAAACCATAAATGGACATGACCAAGCATTCACAAAAGATCAAGTTTAGAATTATACAGAGCGGGTGGGGGGAATTAATTTCTTCTTCTTGCTCATTTCATTCATAGATTATCAATCAAAAGCCTTTTCCTGAAACCCAGATCCTGGGTTTGTGGGAAGGATGGGCAAGCTTCAACATTTACATCGAATGAAATTGTGTTTTTTAAAAGATAATTTTGCTTGTATTCAGTTTAGTTTGGATACCAATGGAGCAGAGCTACAGTGATGTCTTGTGGAATTATTTGAGATTCTTTGGAGCCCGTAAGTCTGAGAAAATGAACAGGACCTCTGTGTAACACTATTATCTATAGCAAACATGTCAAACACAAGGCCCGGGGGCCAGAGGCAGCCCGCAAAGTGGTTCCATGTGGGCGGCGAAGCCATCCTGGAAACAGTGAGGGAACGGCCCCCGTTGCCTTGGCCCTGGCCCAGGCTGGCCGGGAGCTAATGTACAATTTTATGGTGGCCATCTATGCTGAAACGCATTCAGTCTTAGCTCCACAAGGCCGTCTGGAAACAGCGAGGAACCAGCCCCTGCCACATCGGCCCCGCCCCCTGGGTTCATGCTGGGGAGGTGTCACCTTTGTGAGGAATGAAGAAATGCACCATCACGCTGGCCACTTCCAGGCGATGGTGCATTTCTTCATTCCTCACGAAGGGTGACACCTCCCCATCTGGAATTTCTTGCCTGTTTTTCTTCCTCCCTCATCTCAAATACTCAAATACTCTGTACTTAGGAAAGAAAGAAGGAAAGAAGGAAAGGAGAGGGAAAGTCTGAGGGAAGTCCTACCTTAGTCCTGCCCTGCTGCCCTTTCACCATCCCCTTGCCCCCTCCTCCTGGCCTATCCTGGGGATCCTCCATTGCTAAGGAAGCTTTGGATACAAAGCCGGGTCTCCTCCCATGGAGAGGGAATGGGCCTCCCTCTGACTTTGCCCTTGTACCCATCATGAGCAACCTAGCTAAGGAGAGCAAGCACAGCAGCAGCAGCCTTGAGGAGGAGGTAAGAGCAGCTGGGCGCCCCCTTGGGCAAATGGGGCTGGGCTTGGTGCCGTGGATGCTCGAGGTCCAGGCTGGGTGTTTGACCTTTGCTGCCCAGGGCTCCGGGCAGCCTGCACCACTATCCAGCCCCCCCCCGCATGGCCTGATAGTAACAGTGAAGCTCCTCCACTGGACCATGCCTTGGCACTTGCCCTCGTCCCACCCCTTTCTGCCAGAGACCCTCAGATCTGTCCCACTCCTGCCCAGGCCCCCACAGGCACCCTTGATGCGAACGATGTAGAGCTGGCCATGCCCACCCAGTAGGCCACACGCACTCCATCCACGCCCACCCAGTAGCTGCACCCACCCTGGCCACACCCACCCGGCCCCCTGAAATCAACCGCAATACTGATGTGTCCCTCAGTGAAATTGAGTTTGTCACCCCTGATCTATAGAATTGATTGATTGATTGACTGATTGATTCCAGGCAAGGTTTCTGTGGCTGATTTGGGAGATAATTAACACACCTTTGCAGAAAGACATAATGCTCACTGTCTTGAAAGGGACAGAAATAGTGCATAATGTGAAGCAGCTTTCCCTGGACCCAGACATTTTTGATAACTTAGCCCAATTTCCAACATCTGGGAAAGTCTGTAAGAAAAGTGGGGGTGGTTCAACTTCAGAGGATCCTGGAAGAAATAGATTATCTGGATCCTTTGAAGTCAGGTTGACTGGCAAAAAGTGCATCTGTCATTCTGCTAAATGATCGTTATTGGCATTTGGAAGGGAGGAGTGTATCCATCTTGGTCTTTTTAGATCTCATGAATGTTTGATTTCAATAAATCATTGCCTGCAGCAGTTGAGACTGGGGGCACTGCTTCTGGAGACAGTTCCAATCTTTGTGCCCTGAAATTATAGCTCTACTTGGGTAAAGATAACACTCTCTATACTATTCTATATTAATTTCTCCTTCAGATCTATACAGGGAGCTCGATGTGGGTGTAGAAAGTAGAGGACTCTGACATAGAGAGGAAAATATTGTTACCAAGGCAAAGAGTAGATAAATATTGCTTAAACCTGGGGGTTGGGGCAGGGTTATGAAAATGGTTCAGATAGATACCTCTTAATTCACATGACTTATAGAGGAAGGAAGACAAATACATTCAGACTTATAAGATTCTGTTACTACTGCCAATGTTAATAAGAACAGAGTTAGGCCTGTGTGGCATCTGTTGCTTGATCTGATCAGCCTTCTAGACAAGATATCTTGTAAATGTGTAATTCTTACCAGACCAAGAAGACTGATGAGAATTGACATTATGACCCTATTGCAGTTTTCGTTGGATCTAGTTTATTTCTTGACCCAATTCATCAGTCCTTCATACACTCAAAGCTTCTTCTCATACGTTCCTACATATACCAGAAGATTACTTTTGGAGGCTTTGGTCTGAGTGTCCTCTCAGAGCAGTGAACCTTGGACTATGTTCCTCTCAATCCTGGAATCATCCAGGGAAGTACACCTAAGTACAGTACGAACTTTATTATTTTTTCTGGAGGTTTGTTTTTCCAGGGATTACTCAGTGGGTTGTCTTTCAATATATTTGGCAGGTGGTAGTTTTTACTGTTACAAAATTTTAGGATTCTCATTTGAATTACTCTGCTTTGTTATATGGATTTGTGTTGTCTTTTCATTTCTTATCGGATTATTTTAAAATTTATTTTAAAATTTGTTCTAAGCCAGCCTTTGGCAAGCTGATTTTGAAAGTTGTCGTGCCAATTTTAAATATTTAAGATCTCCCAACTCCTAAAAACAATACTTTGTAAAATAAAGAATGCTTTTCATGTTATAAAAAATTAATAATAATAAAAACTGACACCTGCCATAATAGGGGAAATAGATATGCACCACAAACAAGCCCAAGATAGTTCACTCCATGTTCTCTGGCCTACCCCAGGGCCTGGAGGAAAAGTCAAGTCTTTGAGCCCTGTTTAAAGGATAGCAACTCTAAGGGCTGTTCAAACTTCCAGGAGAAAATTATACCAGAGGGCCATGACAAATGTAATGGTGATGTTATCCATTCAGTTGTGTCCGATTCTTGGGAGATTCCATGGGCCGGGTCTCTCCACATCTTCCAATCATGCACTACTTTTTTGAGTTTTTCTATGGTGTCAGCTTTGATGTCGTGACATGGTCAAAGTAAGTGAGATGCAGTTTTGTGATTTTGGTGACAAAGGCTCCATCAAATGGCATGGCTCAAGAGGCGGGATATGAAGGGAGTCCACTCTGCTGAATCTTATGAAATGGGCAAACAATAGAAGGAATTAGCTACAATTCCCATCAGCTCAAATCACAACTGGGAAGGACCACTGAAGTCATCAAATCCAACACTTGCTCAGTGAATGAGTCCAAATTAAAGTCCAGTTAAGCAAGGGGTTATGAAGGTTATAGCCAAAACTAGCTGAGCGCACCAGTTAATCTATATTTCAGACAAGAAGCTTAATAAGATGTTAAACGGTAACAGTATGCTGAGAGTGATTGCTTATCATAAATACATGGATATGTAATGCTTCCATATCTACACCAGATAACTGGTGGCCTCTGAAAGCCACTAAAAAGTTTTGGCTGACTGATAAAGAATCCGCTTTTAATTTTGAAGCAGATCTAGTAATTAGTAATTAACACTGACTCAAAATAGTTGGACAGTGGTTTTGGATCTGTTTAATAGAGTTATGTACAAAACTGCAATATCAAACATCGTATTCCTTTTTTCAAAGGTTATTTTTATTTTTCTGAATTAAACTCACACATATTGTGAACAATTTTAATTTTCTCATGCTTAAAGACAATAAATCCAGTTCCCTTAAAAAAAAAAACTTTACTGTACTTACATTCATTGTACCAGAAACCTGAAGAGAAATGAGATGTCTATACATTATAGCCAGGCATTTCTATATTCAGAAAACTTTAAATTCTTTTAAATTGGCATGATACCAATTGAATGAATAACTGTTGATCTTAAGTTATGTCCCACTGGTTTGTAGGATCTGCTTGTTTCTACACTGCACTTGCCTAATTCTTATTGTTATTAACACTGTTAGTACATGATGCAATGAGAGGTTTTGTCGATCAGCAAGCTTATTACAGGAACCTCACATCGATTAGAGCTGAGAGGGAGTGATTGACAGAAGGTCATCTGCTAGGCTTCCAGCCCTAAAGGAGGATTAAAACCTGGCTCTCCCTGCTCCTAGACCAGTGGTTCTCAACCTATGGGTCGGGATCCCATTTGGGGTCGAATGACCATTTCACAGGGGTCGTCAAACAACGCAGTCCGCCATTTTTTCCCCCTTTTCCTTAGATGTGCTACTCCCTTTTATTCAATTGGCTTTTGAAAGCCAATAGAATAGACTCTCTTGAATAGAGTCTAATTCTATTGGCTTTCAAAAGCCAATAGGAATTGTCCAGACTGTCTCTGCCCTGATGAGCCCACCAAAAGTCCCATTCTGCAAATGGTGCTGCAACTTGTCTGCAGTGAAGACGAGCTGTCTGGAAGTTTCCATCCCTCCCTGCTGAGCAACTACTAAAAATGTAAGTAAAAGAGGGCCAGGGGTGGGAGGTGGGAGGCCGGCGGGCGCAGGGAGGGTGGCTGGTGCGCGTGGGGCCCGGCGGGTGCCCTACCTCCCTTGGGCTGGGCCAGCTGGTAGCCCAGCCGGTGGTTGGCCTGCGCCATCTCTGCCGCTTGCCAGCTACGCCTCGGCTGGCACAGGGGGCGGCACCACGCATGCACGGCGCTCCCAGGCAGGGAAAGTCCTCGACCTATGACTGGTTGGGGGTTGCAGCATTAAAAAGGTTGAGAACCACTGTCCTAGACCAAATCTTTAACCAGATCCACCACACTATGCTAGCTGTTCAATTTAATTAATAGATATAGAAATAAACAAGGAATCCGATCTTAAGTTATACCAACAGTGGTTGTTTATCATAAATGCATCGAGTTACTGTAGACTAAGGAATGAGAACCTCGCATCTTTTAGCAGCTGCTGAACTATATAATCACTGGCTATGCCATTATAATCAGTATTTTAGATAGTAGGAGTTGTAATTCAGCAATGTTTGGAATCACACGTTTTCCTTGCTTGTACAGGTAACGTTTGACATACAACCAAAATTGAACCCAAAATTTCTGTTGCTAAGCAAGACAGTTGTTAAGTGAGTTTTGCCCCATTTTACATTCTGCTTGTTAAGTCGAGGACTTCCTATAATAGAAAAAGACATCAAAAAAATCATAAGATTTTTTCATTTTTCGGTCTAAAAATCTTAGTCTAATCCCATTCAAGTAAATCTGAATTCCACAAATAGTTTATATTATGGATACCTCCTTAGTGTCTTTTCCTCCATATTTATTGAAGAAAGGTTTCATGCAGTTTGACTTTTTGGTGTTATCCAAGTGGTAAGTGGATATTCTAGGGCTCAAAGCTTATAAAACATTTTCTGCAACATTTCCTGAGAAATAAATTAGATTTCCCCAAGAATATTTATCATCCAACTCTGTACAATATTGCATTTGAAATGAGCTATCATAACTACCTAATTGACTTTAAAAAAGGAAAACAATCCCTAATCCTCTTTTATAAAAAGGATTATACTTCTGGAATAAAAACAGTAGATTTACGAATTATAGACTGAGATGATGATGCATTACACTAAAGCAGTGGTTCTCAACCAGTGGGTCGGGACCCCATTTGGGTTCAAACGACCATTTCACGGGGGTCGCCAAACAAGGCTGTCCGCCATTTTGCTCCCCTTTTCTTTGGCCATGCCCCTGGCACCCGGTGATGTATAAGTGGTTGGGGGTCACCACAACATGGGGAACTGTATTATGGGGTCATGGCATTAGAAAGGTTGAGAACCACTGCACTAAAGGCCAAAGTCTGCATGCTTTCAACTTAGCAGAGCACATGCACTCAGTCATTATTGTTCTAACCATCTTCGTGGCTTGGTATTGGGAAGCTCCCAGCCAAGGAAGGAGGAGGGTTCAAGCAGGAAGCTAGCCTTGAATCCTTGTGCAGTCTCGAGAAACCTGACCTGCCCATTCTCCCCCCCCCTAAAAAATGTTCCATGGAATCTTATCTGTTTGTTCCCAAGAGAAGGCAAGTACCGTATATGCCGGTGTACAAGGCGACCCGGCGTATAAGACGACCCCCGTCTTTGTCGCCGAGCCGCATTCCTAGAACGTTGCCAGTATTTCCGGCGTATAAGACGACTCGGCATATAAGACGACCCCCGTCTTTGGCGCCGATTTTAGTGCTTGCGGAAGTCGCCTTATACGCCGGCATATACGGTAGTCTGGAGAGATTCTTGTACATAGGTAGAACACAATAGTCACCTTGAACCAGTGGTGGGATTCAAATATGTGAACAACCAGTTCTCTTTGTGGATGCTGCTTCCAGAAGTCCGTTCTCGGCCTGGGCAACAAAAAATTAGCTACCGGTTCTGCTGAACTGGTGCAAACCGGCTGAATCCCACCACTGCCTCGAACCCTTCGCATATGGATCTGGTGGCTTGTGCCTGACACTTGGCTTATAAGTCAGTGTCATGTATAAATCAAGACAGACTCAGAATAAGTTTCCTGTGAAAGAGTTATAGAGTTAAACTTCCCGTGTCAGGCCTGTTAAGATGGTATGCATAACCAAAACAATCTAAAATATTGCAAATTCTCAGATATGATAAATACTTTGCAGGCTGATCCTTATTTCACAGTCTCCCAGCAAAAGATAATTATGATCAGCTGCCCTCTGTCAGGGGGCGTCCCTTTAATCTGTTATCTGGAGAGCTCTTAAGCCTACCTGCCTAGAATCTGCCCACGGAAAACTATAAAAGGAAAAACAGAACATTTTCTTGTGGTAGGCTGCTTATGTTTTAAAAAACACCCACAGTGAATCTTATTCTCTTGTACTGTGTTTTTGTATCAGGAGATCATACACACAAAAAAACCTCTGTGGCAAAATTGTTTTTCTCTTCTCTCAAAATGTACCTTTCTATAAAACCGTGGCCTGTAGTTCACAAAATGATACAGGTTGTCCTTGACTTACCTCCTTTTCTTTAGTGACTGTTCAAAGTTACAAAGGCACTGAAAAAGGTGATTTATAACAATTTCCCACACTTACAACCATTGCAGCATCCCCGTGGTCATGTGATCAAAATTCAGGCGCCTAGAAGTTGGTTCATATTTATTTATTTATTAGTAAAATTTATATGCCGCCCAATCCCTAGGGATTCAGGGCGGCGTACAAAATTAAAACAACAAGTATAACAATTCAAAATGAATACATTCATGAATACATTTATGATGGTTGCAGTGTCCTGGGGTCATGTAACCATCTTTTGTGACCTTCTGACAAGCAAAGTCAGTGGGGAAGCCAGATTCACTTAATAACTGCAGTGATTCACTTAACAACTGTGACAAGAAAGGTTGCAAAATGGGGCAAAACTCACAACTATCTCGCTTAGCAAGAGAAAAGCTGGGCTCAATTGTGGTCATAATTTGAGGATTACATGTTATTTTCCTCCCTTCAAATAACCCAAGCAGAAAGGACACAGTGAAATTGAATCTTTAAAGTTATTATGTCAACCTTGTGAAATAGTCCAGACAAGAAGAACACCCCGGATGAATTAATCCTACTTTATTGTAAGGTTACATTCGCGGAATTTTGCAATTTCTCTCCTCTGTTTTTAGTCTGTGAAAAGCTAGAGAGGATCCCTTCTGAAATGCTTCCCCCACTTTCCCCTCACTTGCAGAATAAACTATCTCTTATCAAACTGTTCCCTAGGCCAGGGGTCTCAATCTCTGGTCTGTGGACCAGTACCGGGCAGCGGCATGCCAGCAACTGGTCCACACAAACAAGCAAAGCCCCATCCGTGGGATGCAGGCAGTATACAAAACCACACCCCCTTCGGTCTGCGGAAAACCTTTCTCCACAGATCCGTCCCTGGTGCCCAAAAGGTTGGGGTCCTCTGCCCTAGGCTACGGGTCCACTTCCTGTCTCCCACAGTCATTCTTTCATACCCATAACAATCATGACAGCATCTGGGAAAAAGGAAAGATATTGTCACTTTGCGCGTGTAAATATATATATTTGCAATGTGGAACAAATATTAGAAGAAAATTAGATTTCCTCTCAGTTTTTTTTAAACCTATATTTTTGCCAGCTTTTCTTAACTGCTGCTCAGCAAAAAGTGTTGCGATGTGAATGTGCTAGACTATATAGTACATACACCTGAAGTAATAGGGTTATCAACAAGAAACCCAAGAATCATTACAGCACAGTGAGGAGCTACAAGAAAACCTAACTCTTTGTTGCCCACTAGTTGACTGGACTTTTACAGCCTAGATGTGATAGACTTAAAAATGGGTGGTTGTTTGTGCCTCTGTAAATTCAACATTTAGCACAATAAATCTCAGACAAGAGAAGGGAAACATTCATAGGAGAAAAGTGAGCTTCATATCTTGTCTGCGTAACCTTTTTCTACATTCTACCACTATTGTTTTCTATAGATGCTTTGGGAAAAGGAGATAATAAATTCATAACTAGTTATACATCACCATGTTGTTGGAAAGTGATAAAGATTATAATCTATTACCCTTAAAAGCTGGACAAACCGCAGGTGATAAAAGGAGTATTCAGCCGCTTCATCAAAGCAGCTATGAATAGGCAGGGAACAGATCTCTGTCAATAATTTTCTTTTTAATTTTTATACCACTTTTCCTTTCCATAAAAAATCCCAAAGTAGTTTACAACAATATCATACGATTACTGTTTCATCTATTATATATATATTAGGCAAATCTACGAGGCAAAATCAACAAATCTCAAATATCTCTGGCTGAAACATTCCAGCCAAACTAGCCAAGTCTCAAAAGTAAGAGAATTTTACATACCGGTGGTAGATGTCATGGTAAAAATGCTCTTTTCTGCACTATAGGCAAAGAAATACAAACTGTAGTATGATAGGCAATGAATCCTCTGCAAAATATGAAGGGTTTTTATGAAAAAGAAAATTCCTTAAATAAATTGGTGCTAATCTATTTAGTCTTACAGACCAACAGTACTCCTATAAAAATGGTTTCATAGGCACTGCAGCAGAGATATCAATAAAGTGCCCTATTGAGCAACCTAACCAAGTTTACTCCATTAAAAAAAAAACCAATTTTGGATGACAAAATTGGTGGTCTTTTTTAAAAAAAAATGGTGGTCTTTTTAAAAAAAAGATATGGCGTAAACTTGGTTGGGTTTCACATCATAATTCAAATCATTCAAAATCAATATCAGTTCATTCAAAAAAGAAAATCAAGGTACCATGAATAAAGGACAAAAATAAAATGTAGATGGAAGCACAAATAATATTCTGTAAAACGTAGAAAATTGTGTTGAGAAAAACAGCTCTGAACTCACTAGCCACTAACCAGGAATGAAAGCCAGGTAAATCTTGCCTAGATTAAACATGATGTACTTCTTGACATTCTATAATAGGACTGTTGCTATAGAGAAGTTCCTACCTCATGACACTGCCAGCTGTATTGGAAATAAAAATGTGATTGTGAGCATGAGTAGATTGGTATAAGGGAAGGGGTTCTATTTAGCAGTTTCACAGGGAAGCAAAGGAAAGGGGAATATTTTTAATTTTATTTATCACAGAGGGAGGTCCAGGTTAACCTATAGTGATTAATAAGTGTAATGCTGTAAACTTCAAGGGTTGTGACTTTTATGTTTTAAATTATTTATAGCTCGAGGTGGATGATGAATTAAACTGTTTTATTTAAATGCAGAAGTTCCAAACAGAAATAAAGGCAGCATGGACGTGCAAAATAGCAGGGATTATAATTAACAAGAGAATAACACAGCCTTCAAGAGCTTACAGGCACCCATACTTGTCAATGTTATTTTAAACAGCTTCTGGCATAGCTACAAAGGTGGCTCTGTAACAGGTTGCTCTCCTTTTCAAATGCCAGAGAATACAAAGACATCACACCGCAGCAAAGGTCCACGCAAAGAAAAGAAAATAAACAGAGGTAAATAAATCACTATGAAAGACTGAACTAATGACAAGATTTCTGAGGACTGTAACAAATCACACACCTACTCGGAGACAAAATCCCCTTCTCTCTCACAGCCAAGCCTTGGTGATACAGCATGCCAATCAGAGGTTTTAGAGCTGTGCCCGAGGTTTCCTGTTCTTCCAATTATAAGGTAGTGTAGGTCCTAGATATATAAAATAAACATTGAAAACAAGACTGGCTTTTTTACCTTTTTCAAGAATGCCATTCTCGGCCTGTACCGCTGTCCTTCATCTATCTGCGTGATGGTCATCGTGATCTACTTTATTAAGCAAAAGAATTAAAAAAAAAAAAAGCAATAAATGGGCTTTCACCAATTGCAGAGAAAAAGGTGGTGATAGGCTTAGGGATTTCAGGCGAACTGCATTACGGTGCTGAAACCCGGCAAGCTACAGAATAAAAGCGCCGTGGAACCAGGCACAGTCTTGCTGTAGCCAATCAACACGAGACACTCTAGTTTTATTTGCATGAGCGGAGTTGTGCTTCCTACCTGCCAGCAGTAGGGGGAGCCCTTTCATCTTTTTACAGGACTGAGCTGGTAGCAAAGAGAATTTGCATTGTTCTAAATTAAACAATGCTAGGGTTAGACAGTGTTAGCCAAATGCACATCAGCACAAGATAAAATTATGGGAGGAAATCTCCGTGATACTTGATTGAATAGGTTCACAGACACATTTTTTTCACATTTAAATATAATGTGACTAGTTACAATCTGTTTTATTTGTGGTTTGATTTACTCACACTTGTGGAAATAACACAGAATATGAGACCAAATTAAAGATTTGTTCCTTTTTAAAAAATTATTTCCTACTTTTCTTTAGAAAGCTCAAAGCAGTCTTCTCCAATTTTATCCCCATCAATCTGATACTTTAATCAACATGCTATACTAGCTGATCAGATATTGGAATAAACATATGTAACTGGAAATGATGAAATAAGTAAGATTCTTGCAAATACGGTTATAACACCACCACTAGCTCTGCTCCATATAACTTGTGGCTTATTGACTGGTAATGGGGAACACAAAACTAAAACCACTGATCAGCTGCTCTGTGTCTAGCATATGTAAATCCAACAAAGAAAAATATTTTTAAATAAATTATATAGAGATATATGGAATTATTTATTTATTAATATTTCTATGTCATTGTATTCCCAAGGGCTCATATAGATGATAATGATAAATTAATAAATATTATTACACACACAGAGTTTTATTGCTTTTAACCTTGTAAGCTGCTCAGAGTCACCTTGTGGTGAGATGGGCAGCAAATAAAATTAATAAATAATGATGATTGGTGTATGCATTATTTTTTATTCCTTAGGAAGAAGTCCAACTTTCCAGACATTTGTATTTGTATTTATATTTATACTTTGTATTTATATTTATACTTTGTATTTATCAAAGGAAGCCATACAGAAGAACACACTCAGATTGGAGAAAACTAGAAACTCAATAAAAAGTTGAGTTGCTGAATATTACATATTTTTGCATAGACAAGTTTATTAACATGCATAATTCATATGTGTAAAATGTTTTAAGTTCTGATACAGCTGTTTCATGAAAGAAATTGATGTTTGTAATGCTTTTGCTCCTGAACTGGCATTTAGATCAGTGACAGAATATTGTGAGGAGTTGCCATTTTTCCTCAATTGTTCTATGGATACCACTGATTCTTATATGTGGTTTGATGATACTCTTTATAGATAATTATCGTTCTTTGTACTTCCTACATATAATTCTCTTCTGACTTTTCCTATTCCATGTCCCCTCTCCCAAACCTGGGAATTAAGTTATCAATCTGGAAAACCTCAAAATGACAGCAAAAAGGTACAGTTCTGGCCACCCTAATCCTCCCCTCTTAGGATATATTCCATTTAATTGATGAAGAAAATTAAGGTATAAATCAATATGTTATAATAAACAGCTGAATTCACAAAACAACTTAGGTAACAGTAAAATTATTTTGGATACTTTGTAGTTTAATATCCTGGGGAATTTAGCCATTGTCTTAGAATGTTATATGAATCAGGCCATCGTATTAATCTATAGTCTAGATTATTTATTTGGACACAACATAGTATTTAAACAGAGTACTCCAGGCATAATGTATCATTGGACCATTTGGATTGTTTAAGAAAAATGATGTTACTTTGCAATAGGCTCACTGAAAGAGCAGAAACAGTAGAAAGAAGGGAACCTGTCATCTTTTTTTTTTTAATTGCCTCTGAAACCATTGGTAGTCAAGACTAACCAGGTTTCAAACACCTGCTCCGGAGTTCTATTCCCACATTTGTATCTTCTGTTTCTTAAAAATCTATTTCCTATTTTACATGGAATCTACTGTTTAGGTACTGGTTTCAAGAAAGAAGACTTTCTCTATGTAAAATTGCATAGACAAATAATTACTTTGAGCAGAGTTTCAGATGCTACTCTAAGTATTCAATAAAAGGCAAAGTACACAATTTATATAAATGATTTTTTTCTTCTCAATGTTCATATAAGTGTTTGAAACTCCTGACTGCTATTTGAAAACATTCTGAAGGGGCTATACCAGTGGTGGTGAACCTTTTAGAGACTGAGTGCCCAAACTGCATCCCAAAACCCACTTATGCATCGTCGAGTACTGGGTGGGTGTGGCCCATTGGGTGGGCGTGGCTGTGGTGGTAATGGCAGACTGGGTGGGACTAAAAAGTTCAATCATCAATTCCAACATTGCAAGATCTTTTTTTTCCCGTGAGAAGTTGAAATTGACTGATTGAACCTTTTTTTTTTTTTTTTTGCACACGGCGGCGGAGGCCTAAAGCAAAAAGGTTTTATAAAACCCAGCTGAAGGCCTAGGACTGGGGTGATGGCACGTGTGCCCACAGAGAGGGCTCTGAGTGCCACCTCTGGCACCCGTGCCATAGGTTTGCCACCACTGGGCTATACCGTAGCACCAGAAAATACCCTCATTTAGGATTAGAATCCTAGGAGTTGAAGCCCAAGATAATCTAGACAGGTTTAGTCTGGTCATTGATGATCTATGAGAGAATTCCAATTAAAAGATAGAATGGGCCAATGTGTGCATTTACTAATCTAAATTTCTAATCAAGCTTGCACGAATACAATCAGAATGATTTGTATACAGTATACACTCATCTTTCCTCAATGTGCTACCCTCCAACCTGTTGACGACACTGCCATACACTATTTAACTTGGCCTACCCATCTGCCCTAAATTTGGATTGCTTGCTTTCCCGTTTTGTGTGTTGTACTTCTGAGTGCTACTCCTTTCGCCCACAAGCTACAAAAGCTTTAACTAGGGAATCCACAAGATACAATATATATATATATATATATATATATATATATATATGTGTGTGTGTGTGTGTGTGTGTGTGTGTGTGTGTGTGTGTGTGTGTGTCAGCCACAACAGTGCAAATGCAAATGAAGCTCTGCCTGTTTTTCATGTGCAACTGTTGAGCTTTGGTCACATTGTCTTGGCTAACAACTTGACTTTTTTATTATTATTTTCAGAGGAATTTCTGAAACACAGATGTTGTGGGTGGCTAGGCAGGCAACCGAAGTAAGTACCAAGGGAACCAGCAGTCACCATTCAGGCCTTGCCCCCTCTCCGCCCCACCCATCACCTAAAGCAACAGGCAGATTTTAGGACTATTGGAAAACAGATTTTAGGATGTTGATAGGAGCAACCCAGAAGAAAGTGAATAACATGAATGAGAAGAGATCACGTTTATGAATGAATACTTTCTTGATTATGGAACAAAGACTGCAGAATTCCTAACTTACCAGGCCATTTGATGCCGGTTGGTTGACATTGCTGCACCTGATTAGGATGATGGTTGTTCAAATGTTTTGGAATGTTACTTTATACTGAAGTGGGAAGAAAGGTACACCTTGTTAGCTAATATGTCATAAATTCTGGATATGCATCCTAACGGGCAAATATAAACGCGAGATCAGTCGAGGATCATAATGAGGCAATAGCTCGACAGGGCAAAACATACGATGCACCCCAACAAAAAGTTCGAGCCATTTTTTTTTAATAAATCAGTCCCCCCCCCAAAAAAACCGTCACGTGACAAATCCGAAGAAGGGGAAATTCCGAATACACAGACCAGATGATAGGGTCACGTGCTAGACCCAGGGGCGGGGCCAGCCAACTTAGAAGACAAGAAGCAGGTACCACGTGTAAGCAGAATGAGTCTTTGATTGGGCATTCTTGACGCGACACTCTCTGAGCGGCGTCTCCTGTCATAGGGGCAATCGGAGGGGGCGCGGCCTGAGCGAACTATCCAGGTTCCACGCAGGCGCAGAGCGGTGCAGGGCCGCTGCGGCCGCTCCCTGGCTGGCAGTGCTCGCTAAGATGGCGGATTTCCTGCCGTCGCGGTCCTCGCTGTCGGGCTGCTTCCCCGGCTGCATGTTGAACAGCACCGAAGCCGAACAGCAGCGGCGGTCTAAAGAGATCGATAAGTGCCTCTGTCGCGAGAAAACCTATGTCAAGCGGCTCGTCAAGATCCTTTTGCTGGGCGCGGGCGAAAGCGGCAAGAGTACCTTCCTCAAGCAGATGCGCATCATTCACGGGCAGGACTGGGACCGGCCAGCCCGGGAGGAATTCCGCGCCACCATCTATAGCAACGTCATCAAGGGTACGGTTGGGGGGCTGCAAAGGAGAGGGAGGCGGGCGAGCGGGCTGCGGTGATTCCGTCGGAGGTGCAACTGGCAGCGGCGCGGCGGCGGGCGGGCGGGCGACGAAGCCCTGAGAAGAGAGGCGGCCTCGGGAGAGAGAGAGAGAGCAAAAGCGAGGGGCTGCCGAAGAAGCCCCGGCGTTGGGAGAGAAGCCGTTGCAACGCCCGAAGCCCCGCGTGAAGGAGATATGCGCGGGCACGACCGCCCCCCCCCCAAAAAAAAAGTCACGCCTTTTTTTCCTTCCTAAAAGCATGGCTGAGACGGCCACCTTCCGCCCGACGCACTTTTAGTCTCGTTTCGATTCCGTTCGGCGGTAGCACTTTAAAGGACCTTCGAGAGGGAAACCTGTGGCGGATGCTGGGAGGGGGTGGACGGGGGGAAAGTGGGCTGTGAGGAGATGGGCTCCGGGCTGGGGTAGCGTCCGAGGGAGGGGCGGCAACAGTCAGGGCAGGTGCCCCCGTCCTCGCCTCAGTTTTCGGAAAAAAGGAACGAGGAAGAGGCAGTTTGGCGTCCTGTCTGGCGGATGTGGCCTCGAAGGGGGCCTTTGCCTGAGCTAGAGATGGGGAGCTGTTGAAGCAGGCCTCGGGGTGTGTGTCAGAATCGTCCTTTGTGCCCCGAAAGGCGTCGTCGTCCTCGGTGGCTAACGGGATTGCGTTTCGGACAGCCTTTGTGTCAGACAGCCTTGCTTCTGTAAAAGTTGCAACAGTCGTTTGCATTTTGCACTGAGGCTGATGGAGGGAGCCCAGAGAGTGAGGGATATATGTGTGGAATAAATTATGCATAGGTTTGGAGGCATTGCTATTGTGATCACAAAACTAATGTGGACTACACGTTATTTGTCTCTGAGAGATGGTTGTTGAAATGACCGAGTCTAATTCTAAGGCAACTTTAATTTGGACATGAGGAAATGTTAAGAAGGTCAGTTTCCAGAGAATGTGATGAAAATTTATAGTAGCAATATATAATGGATGTATTCATCTATACCCGTATGTCATTTTAAACTAATATTGTGTGAAGTATGCATTTTGCTTTTAAAAATATTTCTTATACATTGTCATATGAAAAGAGTTGTTGAATTCCTAGTTGAATGCAAAGATATATTGCATTTTCAAATAAATCCAATTGAATTCTTGTTGCAAGTTGTAATCATGGAGATAACAGTTTCTATTTTTACACGATGTTGTGAAACTGTGAAAAGGGATTTTGGAGAGAGAGGTAGAGGTTAAGCACTTGCTGGTTAAACAAATGAGAGAATGGTGAGCATGGCACTAGTAGAGGCTTAGTTCTAGTCATGCAGTAACAATTCATAGAAATAAATTTGGAACTTTTCAAACAGCAAATCTATTTCTTGTCTTTTAATACCATGCAAGAAATATAAACAACTTTGAATATCAGCTAATTTGTTTTCTTATACGCACCATGTCTTAAAAATCTGGAAATATGTGATAATATATTGTACTACAATTTAAGATTGTAGTTTCCACCCATTGCTTCTTGTCCTGCCTTCATATTTAGTTATTAGGAAATGAAGGTAAAACCAATTTCAAATATATGAATTGTATTTGTTTCCATTCTGTGGCTGTTTTAAGATCTAAACTAGCTTAAATATAGAGTTTGGTCTATATATTGAATGAATAAACTAAAAATAATTTTTCAGTGAATGCAATGGAAATGCAACTAAAGTACTTAGGTTTTGTTACATACATACTGGAGTATTAAGGCCATGTTACAGTTTCTTACAAAAGACTGCGAACAGAAGAGTACACTATAATACAAAGTATCTGTTATAATTTACACTCCATCACTAAAATGTTGAATGCCATTCAAAAAAAAATTTAAATAATTTTTCATGCTTGTCAGCAGTATATGGTATTTCTTGGTAAATAACTTTACATGTACTTTTTCAAAATTATACATAAAGCCTCAACTGCTAATTGCTATTCTAAATTATTGGATACAATAAAAACAAACATTCCCAAACTTTCTTCTTTGATAATGGGGCAATTTGTATATCTAATAAATATAGTAAAATGTGTAACAAAAACAGAATATGTTTTGCTATAAAAATCAAGACATTTCCTTTAATTTTATTGTTTAGAATTATATCCATCTTTCCAGGAGCTCAAGGCAACATTACTCCCTTTTCCAATTTCCCACTACAACTGTGCTACATAGTTTGGCCTAAGAGAGTGACTCACCCCAGATTACCTAGTGATTGAAAATAGAGTTGGACCTGGATCTCTCCAGCCTTGTCCAACACTGGGTCTTGTGCAGGGCTTTTCAACCTTTTCACCCATTGTACCACTTTTAGAATATGGCAATATCCAAGTACCACCAGTCACCTACCAAGGTGTCAAAAACTTGATGACCCCCCCCAAAAGGAAAAAAGTGATAAAGTACAGGTAGTCCTTGACTTACAACAGTTCGCTTAGTGACTGTTCGAAGTTACAATGACACTGAAAAAAGTGCCAGGATCAGTGCTGCTTTCCAGCTGATTGGTGCTTCTTCAGGGGTCAGAAGCACCAGGATCAGCGCCGAGTTCCAGCTGGAGCCTGGCGCTGATCCTGGTGCTTCCACTGAGCCCTGACAGCCCCGATGAAGCGCCGATCAGCTGGAAAGCGGTACTGATCCTGGCGCTTCCGCTGAGCCTGACAGCCCTGCAGCTCCAGCCATCTCTCACTCAGGCTTGTGCGATGCTGCCACTGGTTCAGCCCATTCCCCTCCCTCACTGTCACTTTTCTAAGATGGTCGCGTACCACCTGCCAGGTGCCAATGTACCACAGGTGGTACCCATACCACTGGTTGAAACGTCCTACTCTTGTGGATAAAAAAATATTGATAATACGTTCAAACCAGAAAATAATTTGTTCTTGGTTGTTGTGTTCTTAGACATGTTTTATGCTTTATGACAGTATCATATGATAGATAATGATTATATCAGCCTTTATATAATACCGTACTGTGAATTATACAAACTAGATTGGGTTTTATAACCCTGATATATTGATAACAATAAATATTAATTTACATGCATAAAATATATAATACATTTTATATATAGTAAAAATACAATATTTAATAATATAATAATACATATAATGTATTATCCTAATACAGATGGTGACCTTTAGCAAAAGAGAAGTGCTAATATAAGACTGTCGTCTAACAAGTCTATGACAATGGTGGAACAAGAACTTTTTAATTATATAGTTTGGTCTCTTAGCCTGTGCAGTACATCAATATTCCATTCAGTCTTGAACCAGTTTAATACACATTTTGCTTTTTAAATTTTTATTTTTAAATATTTCTTAGGTATTTAAACATCAAAACAGTTGTTTAAAATGTAATCACATTTATTTGTATTTTAAATAAATCCAATGCATTTAATCAAATTCTTGTTGCATCTTAAAATCATTTAAACTTTAACATATATGAGAATGATTAATCTATATTTTATCATTTTCTCCGGTTTGCTGCAGCTGTTTCTCTGCTTGCTTATGAGATGTAGAGCTGCTGGGTTGAATATAGTAGAACTCCCAGAAGCATGTAATTAATTTTAGCTACTTTAAATGTCTGGAATTGCATATTTGGAAATAAATAATGATTGATACTAAACCTTTTACTAGAAAATTAAAATTTATAAAATGTGACTACAAATTTGCTTGAATCAGCATGCTAAATGTATAGATTTCAACTCAGGCTTAGAGCAGCCATCACTCATAATTTAAAGAAAAAATGCATAATCATACTTTGAGAAATTCTTTATTATTAAAAAAAGTTTTAGTAGTATTTATTATATGTTCAAGGGCAGGTGAAATAAAAGGAAATCAATGTATATAACCTGGTTCAGGTTACTATAGTGGATTTGGGATTGTTACCTGTTTATAGTCTGCATATATGTTTTCCATGTAGTTTCTTACATTTTTGGTGTGAATATGTCTGTACAAATGGGTCATGTTTTGTGTTTTGAGAGTAACCAATTATTAAGATTAATGTAACTGTATTTGGAATCTAACACATAGTTTCAATTTTGTTGAAGGTGTTAGAGTCCTTGTGGATGCTCGTGAGAAACTTCATATTCCATGGGGAAATCCTGCTAATCAAACAAATGGTGACAAGATGATGGCCTTTGATACTCGTTCAGAAGTGGTGCAAGGGATGGTGCAAACCCATACTTTCTTACAGTACCTTCCAACAGTAAGAGCGTTGTGGGCAGATAGCGGTATCCAGCATGCTTATGACAGACGCAGAGAATTTCAGCTGGTAAGACACAATAGCTCTTCATGTTTTTGTAGTTATTGTGATGGTACAATTTAAAATCTTTCATAAATGAAATTGAGATACTTTGGGTGAACTTTTTGTTACATGAACACTAATTTTAATTGTGTAGGAATGATGTACATAAGGATAAGAACAGTAAAATTAATTTCCGTAAAGCCAAGATGCAGAACTGTAGCAGG